AAAATTCCCAGGTCTGTGCTACACCATGTCAAGTTTCAAGCAACTTCAAAAAACAATATGGAAACCTCCCAGAGTTGGCTGGTAGTGAGATGGGCAGCATATAAATTTAATATATCAATCAATCAATCAATCAACAATTTCACCAAAAACTCTTTAGTCCCCATCCTTTTTTTTTTTTAAACAAATCCTTGGCAGAGGAATGCAGTGAACAGAAAAGCTCATGAAGCATGAAAAAAACCCTACATCTACCTACAGATTTGCTAGAACAGGACAAACAGAGATGAAAGTACTCCAAAATTGGAATCAGACTAGGAACAACTGAAATTCAAGACGGCTCTTTTCTTCTGAGAAGCATAAAAAAAAAAAACCATACACAAGGAGAAGATGCCCACTGGGGAAAGGGGGGAAAAAACGACGACACTCAACAGCCAACAGAGAGAACGGGAGAAGAAAGGAAGTAGCCAAGTCTAGAGAGCATAGGTCAGTGATTCTGGGAGTTGAAGTCCATGCTTCTTAAAAGTAACTGAGGTTGAGAAACATTAAACACAGAATAACAACATAGAGTAACAGAGTTGGAAGGGACCTTGGAGGTCTTCTAGTCCAACCCCCAGCTCGAGCAGGGGAACCTATACCATTTCAGACAAATGGCTGTCCAATCTCTTCTTAAAAGCCTCCAGTGATGGGTCACCCACAATTTCTGAAAGTTGTCAGAAATTGGTCCATGGGATAAAAGCCACTTAAGGAAGGGTTGGGAGATGAGAGAGCTGCAGATCGGGGATGTCTATGGGATGCTGTCAAAAAAGTCAAGATGGCAGGCACAATCATGGAGTCCAACCTCCGCCTGCTTTTTACGAATGTCACACATGAACCACAGGAGCATCTATTAACCCCTTGTGTGCACCCACTTGATTTCTCAAACAGTACCTTGCAAATATTCCAGATGCTGCAGAGGGAACAATTCCTACAAACGGAACTCAGGGAGAACAGAACAAAAGGAAGAATGGCCAGGATATTGAGACTAATCGTCCTTTAGACATTTATTTATCGAAAGATAAAAGAGTCCCAATCTTTCCTCAACCAAGGTTGAAATCCTGGCCTAGAAACCAGGAGACTGAGAGTTTTAGGTCTCCTTTAGCCATGAAAGCTGGCTGGGTGACTTTAGACCAGCCCTTCTTCATCCATCCATCCATCCACCCACCCACATAATACATACAGGTAGTCCGCAATTTACAACAGCTCATTTAGTGACCGTTCTAAGTTACAACGGCACTGGAAAAAGTGACTTATGACCATTTTTCACACTTACGACCATGGCAGCATCCCCGTGGTCACATGATCAAAATTCAGGTGTTTGGCAACCAACTCATATTTATGACGGTCGCAGTGCCCCGGGGTCATGTGATTCCCCTTCTGCAATCTTCTGACAAGCAAAATCAATGGGGGAAGCCAGATTCATCTAACGTTACTAACTTAACAATCGCAACAATTCACTTAACAACTGTGGTGAGAAACGTCGTAAAAATTGGGCAAAGTTCACTTAACAAATGTCTACCTTCGCCACAGGAATTCTGGGCTCATAAGTGGTCATAAGTTGAAGACTACCTGCACATACATACATAAATACACACACACACATATATACATACATGCATGCATATATATACATGTGCATAAACATGTGTACAAACACATAAACATATACATACATTTATATCTATAGAAGGCAGGATGAAATGTAATATTATAATGATGACGATCTATAAAAGGCAGGATGAAGTGTAATATAATAATGATGATAAAATTATTATTATTATTAATAATAATAATAATACCAAGTGCTCCAATGACAATGGGTATCACTGTTACATGTTTCATCCATAATCATGTAGTTTCGATGGCCAGGTCGCGATATGTCCAAGAATTTTACAAAACACATCAAGAAATTGCAGCTTCCTGCAATAACACCAGCAGAACTGCAAAAATACTGCGCTACTTGTATATTTTAAGAAGATACTTGGTTGATACCTAGGACGCTGGCAGCAACCTGTATCAGCCATTAGCACCCATCAATTGTATTTGTGACACATTTTTAAATGTCCAGTTGACTGAGTTTCATATTTAATGAATAAAAGAGATAATAATAATAAAGCAGAGGGATGCCAGAATACCAGGAAGAGGAGAAGAAGAAGAAGAAGAAGAAGAAGAAGAAGAAGATGATGATGATGATGATGATGATGATGATGATGATGATAATAATAATAATAATAATAATAATAATAATAACAATAACAATAATAATAATAACAGTAGTAGTAGTATAGGGTCTCCTGCTTGAGCAGGGGGTTGGACTAGATGATCTATAAGGTCCCTTCCAACTCTGTTAATCTGTTAGTAGTAGTAGTAGTAGTCTTGGTCAATATCGACTAAGATACCAACCAAGTTTATTATTCTTTTATTCATTCAACATGAAACTCAGTCAACTGAACATTTAAAAATATATCATAAACACCACTGACTAGTGGCAATGGTTGATACAAGTTGCTGCCAGTGTCCTAGATACTTGGTGGATACCTAGGACGCTGGCAGCAACCCGTATCAACCATTAGCACCAGTCCATGGTATTTGTGATGCATTTTTAAATGTTCAGTTGACTTGGGTTTCATGTTTAATGAATAAAAGTATAATAATAATAAATAATAGTAACACAGCAGAGAGATACCAGAGTACCAGGAAGATCATATAATAATGATAATAAATAATAGTAATACAGCAGAGAGATGCCAGAGTACCAGGAAAATCAAATACTAATAATACTAATACTACTATTAATAAGTATCTTAAGAAGATACTTGGTGGATATCTAGGGCGTTGGCAGCAACCCGTATCAACCATCAGCATCAGTCAATGGGATTTGTGATGCATTTTTGAATGTTCAGTTGACTTGGGTTTCATGTTTAACGAATAAAAGTATAATAATAATAAATAATAGTAACACAGCAGAGAGATGCCAGAGTACCAGGAAGATCAAATAATACTAATAATACTAATACTACTACTAAGTAGTATCTTAAGAAGATACTTGGTTGATACCTAGGACGCTGGCAGCAACCCGTATCAACCATCAGCATCAGTCAATGGGATTTGTGATGCATTTTTGAATGTTCAGTTGACTTGGGTTTCATGTTTAACGAATAAAAGTATAATAATAATAAATAATAGTAACACAGCAGAGAGATGCCAGAGTACCAGGAAGATCAAATAATACTAATAATACTACTACTACTACTAAGTAGTATCTTAAGAAGATACTTGGTTGATACCTAGGACGCTGGCAGCAACTGGTATCAACCATTAGCACCAGTCCATGGTATTTGCGATGCATTTTTGAATGTCCAGTTGACTTTGAGTTTCACGTTTAACGAATAAAAGTATAATAATAAATAATAGTAATACAGCAGAGAGATGCCAAAGTACCAGGAAGATCCAATAATAATAATGATAATAAATAATAGTAATACAGCAGAGAGATGCCAGAGTACAAGGAAGATCAAATACTACTACTACTACCTATTATTATTATTATTATTATTATTATTATTATTATTATTATTATTATTATTATTATTATTATTATTATCCTAAGAAGATACTTGGTGGATCCCTAGGATGCTGGCAGCAACCCGTATCAACCATTAGCACCAGTCCATGCTATTTGGGATGCATTTTTGAATGTCCAGTTGACTTGAGTTTCACGTTTAACGAATAAAAGTATATAAGTAATAGTAGAGAGATTCAGATCGGATCAGATTCTCCAAACCAAGGACCAAACTTCGCTTGCTTAGAGGAAAGAGGAACCTTGTAACCCATGTTCCACTGCATGCCCATCATCCCCTTCTCCCTGCCTGGTTGATCCATCCCATTTAGCTGAAGGGGGAGAAAAAAAAAACCCAACCCTTTTGGCTCCTCAAACCGGCCTCCCCTCAGAGCCCGGGAGTCCCTCAGGGGCCGACAACCCGGGTCGGCGTGTCTCGTGTGAAGGCATATATATATATATATATATACACGCGGGGCGTGGAAGACCGCGAGGCGAATCCTTCCTTCCTTCCCTCCCACTGAAGGAGGGGACAAAAGGGACCGACGACGACCCTCCGAGGCCGAGAGAATGAGGGTCTCCCCGGCGCTGAGGGAGGCAGGCCCGGCCGGGCCACGGCGGCGGAGGAAAGGGAAAGCGGGGCCCGCGGCGGGGATGTTGAGGCCAAAGAAGGCCTCGCTGTCGTGGCTCCGAGGAGCCCGCTAAAAGGCCGAAGCTGAGGTAAATTTCGCCCCCGGGTTGGGCTTACCCTGGTCGCCGGGCTCCTGCGGCGGTTGCAAAACGCGCTCCAGCTCCGGGAAGGGCAGCTCGGGCAGGTCGAGGAGAGCGCCGTACCTCTCCAAGAAGGAGCAGACGACGGCGAAGTTAGGCCAAGAGCCCGGGCGGGAAAAACCCTCCGGCGGCGGGGCGGCGGGGCAAGGCGGGGAAGGGGGAGCCGCCGCCGCCGCCGTCGCAGCCGCCATCTTGGAACCTGAGAGGATGGATGGATGGAGGAGGTGGTGGTGGTGGAAGAGAGGAGGGGCGGGCGAAGGAGGAAAGCAGGGGGCGCTGTGGCGGGGAAGCGAGAGCCCGGCGCCATTCTCCCGTCAGGCCCCGCGAGAGGAGACGAGGCGACGAAGGAAGAGAAAGAGGCAACGTTGAGAAAGAGCGGCCCGGATAGTTTTAAAACCCCATCTCTCTCTCTTTCTCTTACTCGTTGGTTTATGATTTGACTGATTGACACAGGAACCAAAACGAGCCTGGCGTTGTGGGGAGGTGGGAGGAGTTGGAAAGGGGCGGGGAGAGAACGCCGCCCGAGCCAATCTCGCCGGCGGCGACGGAGAAAAGGGGCGCAATCATAATAGAAAGGGACGAGGGAGGAGAGGACGTCGAGACTCCGCCCACAAAAAAAAAAAAAAGAGGGGCGGGGCCCCGATGTTGTGGAAAGGTTTGTTAGTGGGCGCGGCCCGTGTTTGTAACGTCGCCTTCGGCCAATGAGGGGTGTGAGGGGGCGTATCCTGCCAGACGTAGGGGGGAGCGACAGATGCGTGATCTGGACAGGTGAGCGGGGCCTGCGGGGACTACAACCCCCATCGCTCCCCATCCTCAGCATTGGGGATGATGGGAACGGCAGTTTGGAAGCCCTGAGAAGGCAAGGGCCTCCCTGAGTGGGGGCAAAAAGGGAATTTGTCAGCTGCAATTCAGGTACAGGTAGTTCTCGACTTACGACCAAAACTGAGTTTGAACTTTCTGTTGCTAAGCGAGACAGCTGTTAAGTGAATTTTATCCCGTTTCACGACCTTTCTCGCCAGTTATTAAGTGAATCACTGCAGTTCTTAATGTGGATAAGCGAATCTGGCTTCCCCGTTGACTTTGTCAGAAGGTCGCAAAACGGGATCACTTGACCCCCCCTGGGTCACTGCAACCGTCATAAGTATGAGTCTGTTGCCAAATGCCTGAATTTGGATCACATGACCACGGAGATGCTGCAACGGTCATAAATAGGAAAGAAAAACGGTCCTAATTCCCTTTTTTCAGGTCCGTTGTAACTTCAGTCACTGGACAAATGGTTGTAAGTTGAGGACTACCTGTACAAACCACCAGAAATCCCTCGGATGAAATGGCCAGTGTAGAAATTGGACAAATAAATAAAATAACAGTAAAATAGCAAGATTGTAAAATAAGGTAATAGGAAAATATTAGATGTCAAAAGACGACAGCGAAATAAAGCCAAAGCCATAACAAAAAAATATAAAATTTATTTCTAAGCTTCAGTGACAGCAGAAGAAAACTTAATAAGTTAACTGACTCTCAGCCATTTTAAAGTCCAGCAGTACCACCATTTTCTATCTGCCCTGCTCTGTAATTTAAGGAAGAATAGTTCAGTCTGTAGCAGGGTGGATTTGATTTAAATCGAGTCGATTTAAATCATGATTTAAATCACTAGTAAAAAGGCTTGATTTAAATCAACTTGATTTAAATCATAATTTTTAAAGAGCAACTGTCATCTCTGCTACTCCTTTGACCCGCTGTTGACTCACCGATAGTCCCAGTGTTGCAGAATATACAGCCTCCTGCTACATAACTAAGCTCCATTTCATGCTCAATAAACTAAATCATTTATGTATCTTAAATAGAAATACCTTACGATAGATTTTTACCCCAAAAGTTTTTTAGTAAAATAAATTCAATAAAAATAAAAAAAACTGATTTAAATAAAAAAAAATCCAATTTAAATAAAAAAAATCTGATTTTTTTGATTTTTTTAAAAAAATCATTGATTTTTATCCACCCTGGTCTGTAGCAGGAATTAAAAATATCTCACACTCTATAGGTGGTGCCTCGCTCAGTAGTACTAACTGAGAGACGGATTTTATTTTATTTTTTAATTTTTATTTTAATCTAATTTTTATACCGCCCTTCTCCCGAAGGACTCAGGGCGGCGCACAGCCAAGAAATAAAACAAACACATATATGAAATTAAACGCAATTTAAAAAACATATTAAATAATTTGGCCCCGATATCATTAAAAAAAAAAAACTTGGGAGTCCTAGTGGACAATCACTTAAATATGAAGCCAGCAGTGTGCAGCAGCTGCCAAAAAAGCCAACACAATCCTAGGCTGCATAAACACACGTGATGTGTTAATACCAATTTTTAAAGCCTTGGCAAGACCATACTTAGAATCCTGCATCCAGTTTTGGTCACCGCACTATAAAAAAGACGTTGAGACTCTAGAAAAAGTGCAGAGAAGAGCAACCCGGATGAATAGAGGACTGGAGGATAAAACATATGGTGAACGGTTGCAGGAACTGGGTATGTCTAGTTTAATGAAAAGAAAGACTAGGGGCGACATGATAGCAGCCTTCCAATATTTAAGGGGTGCCGCAGAGGAGAAGAACGGGGGTCAACCCAGTAGTGGGTTCCAACCGGAGTTACTACCGGTTCTCGTCACGCACACGCTTTGCGCATGATCGCCACGCACAAGCGCGTTAGGTTTCTGGCCAGCTGAGGTGTGGCAATTCACTCTGCCGTGCATATCAGCTGGTCTAAAAAACAAAAAATAAAGATAGGAATAAAGCAGGGGCAGGCGGGAGGGCCGAGCTCCAAGTCACAAAGAACCGATTCGGTGACGTCACATCGTCACCACTACCGGCTCGGCCGAACCGGGCCGAACCGGGAGCAACCAACCACTGGGTCAACCTATTCTCCAAAGCACCTGAAGGTAAGACAAGAATGGAAACTAATGAAGGATGGAAACTAATCAAGGAGAGAAGTAAGACCACACCTAGAGTACTGCATCCAGTTTTGGTCACCACACTATAAAAAAGACGTTGAGACTCTAGAAAAAGTGCAGAGAAGAGCAAGAAAGATGATTAGGGAGACTCGAGGCTAAAACATACGATGAACGGTTGCAGGAGCTGGGCCTGGCTAGTCTAGTGAAGAGAAGGACCAGGGGAGACAGGAGAGCATCTTCCAATATTTGAGGGGCTGCCACAGAGAGGAGGAAGGGGGTCAAACTATTTTCCAAGGCACCTGAAGGCCAGACAAGGAATAATGGATGGAAATTGAACAAGGAGAGATTCAACCTGGAAATGAGGAGGAATTTTCTGACAGTGAGAACAATCAACCCATGGAACAGAAGTTGCCTTTGGAAGTTGTGGGAGCTTCATCCCTGGAGGCTTTCAAGAAGAGACTGGACTGCCATCTGTCGGAAATTGTGTAGGGTCTCCTGCTTGGGTGGGGGGCTGGACTAGATGACCCACAAGGTCCCTTCCAACTCTATTATTCGCCTTTTCTGTTCTGTTATCCTTTTGCCTCTCGTTCTTCCCTTTCAGACAGTCGCCCGGCTATGTCTTCCCCCGAAATTGCCTCCCTGTCATGGGGACGGATGACGGTGAGAGGCTGCCCCACAACCTATAAAGACTGTAAAGTATGGCCCGGTGGCAGCCGAACATGGGACTGGAGAGAAACGGGCACGGAAGTAAGTATCTTGGCCCACCTTGGGGAAATTCCTTCGGCGTCTTCTATGGCATCAGGCATTTTTATGCCCCAGGGAGAATCCCAGCTTATCCAGCCAAAAGAATTAGGAATATTTCCTCTTCGCCTCAGATCCTGAATGTCTCCTGCTGTTAAGCAGGCTGGATTTTAGGGTTAGTTTTAAAATTTTGATACTGATTTTAAATTGACAAGTTTTAAATTACGGGCCAAATTTCTTAATTATTTTAATTCTATTTTTAACTGTAATGTTATGTATAGATGTTTTTATTTTGGCTGTTCACCGCCCTGAGTCCGAAAGGAGAAGGGCGGTATAGAAATTTGAATAATAAATAAATAAATAAATAAATAAATAAATAAATAAATAAATAAATAAATAAATAAATAAATACTGGGTGTTCTGTCCCCGTCTCACACACACACACAAACAGTCAGCCAGGAGTTAAATAAAACTTGCAGACAATAAATTCCTTCGATAACAGGATTGGCAGCAACCCAGTAGCTGCTTGCCAAGAACTTTACTCACAGAGGGAGGTGTTCCTCCTCCGTCAGATAAACCAAAACAAATACACAAAGCCACAGAATTGTCAAGTCCAGTCCGTATTAAATCCAAGGCAGGCAGATAACGTAGTTTCAGAGATACAATGCGACTCGCTAGTTGTTTAGTTTTGTCCGTCACAGAGCCTGAATGGCCACCACACCCCCTTTTATCCCATGTGGGGTGTGGTCCAGTGACTCAGCTTAATCTCTGGCACGCCTCCTTTTCTGCTGCATGCGCTTGTCTCTCCGACGCTGGCGTGGATCCAGACAAGACTTATCTCCGTCACTGTCCGACTGTGAGGAGATACCTGGTTCCTGGCCAATCTCTTCTCCTACGGGAGACACCTGAGGCATTGCCAGAGAGGAGGGTCCTGGAGAGGGAGGCCTAGCCAACTCCTCTCCTTCACTTTCGGAGCCTTCTCCCTCCGATAAAGACGGGCTCGGGAGTCGGAGTCACAACACTGGGCCTCAACAGGGACAACTTAAACTGTATTATAGATCGCCATGTATACAGATAGTCCTCGATTTACAACAGTTCATATAGTGACCGTTGGACCGTCCTGGGAACCAAGGACATTCCCACAGGTGGTCAGTTAGAAGAGGAGCGAAGTTACCAGGCAACCGGGTGGGACTTTGATTGGACCATGTGACTGACTGACTGGAAAAAGGGAGAACCTTTTTACTTTTAATTAGGTGAAAACCGCGGGAATATTCAGACTCGGTTTTTACCAGCATGTGCCAATATGTTATGTCCAATAAACCAATTCTTTGAGGAACCTACCTATTTATTATGGATGTATTACTTGGAACCCTGACACATTCATTTAGCAACCGTTCATAGTTACAACGTAAAAGGTCCTCCCTTTTCCCAGTCAGTCAGTCACATGATCCAATCAAGGTCTCGTCCGGTTGCCTGGTAACTTCGCTCCTCCTCTGTCTGACCACCTGTTGGAATGACCTTGGTTCCCAGGAGAAAGTATTTTGTTTCGACTGCAAAACCCCAGCTATCTCTATTCCCCCACCCTTCCTATCCCTCAGCTCCAGTGTGGCAACACTGAAGCCTCAAAATGGCTTCGGTCAGGTCAGCTTCAGGGTTGACACAACCGTTGTGTGAAAAACAGTCGTAAGTCACTTTTTTCAGTGCCGTCGCGACTTTGCACAGTCGCTAAACGAATGGCTGTAAGTCGAGGACCTTTATTTATTTATTATTTATTAGTTCAATTTATATGCTGTTGTGGCCCCGCCCTCTGAGCCTATCTCATCGGAGGAAGAAAGCTCCGAACATGAGGAAGAGGAGTCAGCCAGGCCTCCCTCTCCAGGCCCCTCCCCTCTGGCACTGTCTCAGGAGCCGGCCGAGGGAGAGGAGATTAGCCAGGAGCCAGGTGTCTCGGATGAGAGCGAAGGAGAGCCGTCATTCCTGGACGCACGCCAACGAAGGCGTGATAAACGGTTGCAGCAGTTAAGGAGGCGTGCTAGGGATTAGAACTGAGTCACTGGACCACACCCCAGAGACTATATAAGAGAGGGTGGTGGCTGGTAAAACTCCGTGACGAACAAAAACGAACTTTGGCTAGTCACTTGAACAACGTCTGAAGCTGCCGAAAGGGATATTGTTTTGCTGGACTATTTGCAATGCGTATGTAATTTTATGTTATCTGTTGCAGTAATTTTATGTTATCTGTGGCAGACGGTGATTATATTGCTGCCAAGTTTGAGATAACGACCTGTGTGCGTGCCAAGTACTTTCTTAACCCTCGGCTGGCTGTGTTTGTGTGTGTGTGTGTGTGTGTGGACGGGGACAGATCATATGCCACCTTTCTCCGAAGACTTAGGGCGGCTTTTAAAGCAGCTTTTCTTCTTTCCCATCGTTTTTCGGAAAAAAGCACGCTGTATGCTAGGAATAGGGGGAACAAAACGACAACCTTCACGTTTTAAAAAACAAAACAAGGCCATTTTTTTCGGGGGGGTGTGGGAGTTAAGGAAGGTTCAGGCCTGCTCCAGAGGTGGGGGGAAATGTATCTGGCAGGATTGCCCTGGCAGCAGACAGCTGTTGCGGTGGGGAAACACCCCCAAATCAAGACCAAAATAGAACTGGAATGTTTTCTGCTGAGTAACACCCCTATGCCGTGTCTTTCCTTGATTTAAAAATGCACGTTTGCTCCACGCGCCCCAGAATAATAAGACCTCCCCGAAAATAAGGCCAAGCGCTTATTTCGGGGTTCAAAAAATTATAAGACAGGATCTTATTTTCGGAGAAACACGGAATTACTGGTAAATCCTCGCCTTTGTAAATTCCATTTTTAAAAAAAAAAAAATTAAAAATGCTGTTTTTACGTTATTTTACTTGCACGCGTCGCAGAGTCCCTCTGTGAGGGAGATGGGTGATTTCAAACGTTGATAAAATAAAATAATAATAATAATAATAATAATAATAATAATAATAATAATAATAATAATAATAATAATAATAATAATAGCAGCTTGTTAAAAATAGACACAAACACAAGACATACATCCCTGGCCTACTGGGAGCAGCTGCATGCTGGGTGCAGAGCAGGAAGCCTGGCGAACTTTGATATGCAAATTTACATCCAAATTGCAATGGGAAGGCAGAAGGGAAACAAACAAACAGAGGCTAAAAAAAGTCACATCTGCCTCAACAAGCTGTGATTTACCAGAAGAGATTAATTCGACCAGATTCTACAAAAGGGTTGGGGAAGGGGTTAAATAGAAAACATTGCCTGCTGTGTGTGTGTGTCCGTGTCCCCAACAATCTGGGTCTTCATTTTACCAACCTCAGAAGGATGGAAAGCTGAAGGCGGTCAGGATTGAACTCCTGGCTGTGGGCAGAATTCGCCTGCAGTACTGCACTTTAACCACTGCGCCACCACACCTCCTTCCTTCCTTCCTTCCTTCCTTCCTTCCTTCTTTCCTCTGTGGTTTACAATGTCAGCCTATTGTCCCCAACCATCTGAGTCCTCATTTTACTGACTTCGGAAGGATGGAAGACTGAGTCAACCTTGAGCCAGTCAGGATTGAACTCCTGGCTGTGGGCAGAATTAGCCTGCAGTACTGCACTCTAACCACTGCGCTACCACAGCTCCTTTCTTCCTCCCTCCCTCCATGGTTTACACTGTCAGCCTATTGCCCCAAACATTTTACCGACTTCGGAAGAATGGAAGGCTGAGTCAACCTTGAGCCGGTCAGGATCGAACTGCTGGCAGTGGGCAAAATTAGCCTGCGATACTGCACTCTTAACCATTGTGTGACCACGGCTCCTTCCTTCCTCCCTCCCTCCCTCCCTTCCTCAGTGGTTTACAATATCAGCCTCTTGCCCCCAACCATCTGAGTTCTCATTTTACCGACTTCGGAAGGATGGAAGGCTGAGTCAACCTTGAACCGGTCAGGATCGAACTGCTGGTAGTGAGCAGAGTTAGCCTGCAATACTGCACTACGCCACCAGAAGGATCTACAACAACTCGCCACAGCCAACTCATTAAGAGACAACTCGCCATGGGGCAAGAGTTACACTAATACCAAAGAAATGATGGAACAGAATCATTAAAGGAAGGATGCGAAAGGAGGGACGGAATGAAATGTGAATGACAAAAATAAAAACGTTTTCAAAATTATTTTAAAATATTTAAATTGAATTGTTAAATTGTCCCGCAGAGAGTTGCCCCGTGGCGAATTGACTATGGTGACTTGGCCGAGGCAAGTTGTCCCAGCCTGCTACAAGAAGGAAGGAAGGAACAAACAAAAAAAAGGAGAAAGGGAAGGAAAGGAAAGGAAAGGAAAGAGAGAGGAAAGGAGAAAGGGGAAAGGGAAGGAAAGGAAATGAGGGGAGGGGAGGGGAGGAAGGGAAAGGGAAAGAAAGGAATGGGAGGGAAAGGAAAGGAGGATGGGAAAGGAAGGGAGAGAGGGAAGGAAAGGGAAAGGAAAGGAAAGGAAAGAAGGAAGGGAAAAGGAAAGAGGGGAAAGGAAGGGAAAAAGGAAAGGGAAGGGAGAGAGGAAAGGGAAATATAGGCCATAATATAAAATTAGAGGAGGGGGGGAAATTATGGACCAAAAATTATAAATTGTCAACTGCATACAAAGCAAATCAGTACAAAATGTTTTACAGGTGGCATTTAACACTGGCGAGATTGGCTAAAATGTATGCAAATATGAAACCGGAGTGCTGGAAGTGTTAAGTGCAAAGATGGAACATTTTATCATATGTGGTGGCAATGCCCTAAAGCAAAAAAAAAATATTGGGAACAGATAAGGAGCTGGCTGCAGGAGATAACAGGAGAACAAATTGAATTTAAAGGAAGGGAAAGCGAAAAGGAAAGGGGGAAAGGAGCGAAAGGAGAGGAGGAGGGGAGAGGAAAGGAAAGAAAATCAGGATGGCAGCATCTACCACAGAAGGAACCGTGCAATTTAAGGCCGGATCTTGAAAGGTGCCAATTCTCAACCAGGCTTCTCCTGATTCTAGTGAAATGCATCTTAATTTTGGGCCATGCCCAAAGCATCTACCACTAACTTTACTTTTCCTCAACACAGCACGTCCCTGGAGTTCAGCCTGCCGACGTCAAAGAAGTTCTGGAAAAGGGTGTCAAGACATTAGTGATTGGTCGTGGCATGAGCGAAGCATTGCAGGTAAGTTTCCTGAGCTCTTAGAGAAGAGCCAGGCTCTGGTTTCATGCCAGGTGAGAACAATCTTTACGCATCAAAGCCAGAGTGGTATTCAGCTAGTTCAGACAGGTTTGCCCGAACCGGTAGTGGAAATCTCAGGTGGACCCGCCCACCCGCCCCGGCTCTATGCCATCTTTTTAGGCACGTTTTTGAGACTTGGTGCGTGTGCGGAAGGTGCGTGCGCCAGCAAAGCGCATGCACAGAAGGACGAGCGCATGCGTGGACAGGCGCACTCACATTTGCGAACCAATAGAGAAATTAAGTGAATACCATCCCAGATCAAAGCGTTGTGTCAGTGGACTGGGGAATTCTGGCAATTGGAGTTCACGTATCTTTGTCGTCTGCACCTCTATAACTGTCTGGTTTGGTTCTGCAACCCAACAAGACAGACACAGACTTCGGAGGATAATTAGAACTGCAGAAAAAACAATGGCTACCAACCTGCCTTCCATGGAGGACCTGTATGTTGCACGAGTCAAAAAGAGGGCTGGGAAAATATCTACAGACCCCTCGCATCCTGGACATCAACTGTTTCAATTTCTACCCTCAAAATGACGCTATAGAGCACTGCACCCCAGAACAACTAGACACAAGGGCAGTTTTTTCCCCAACACCATCACTCTGCTAAACTAATTCCCACAACACTGTCAAACTATTTACTAAGACTGTATTACTATTATTCTTCTCAATAAAAACGGGCTGAAAAAAGCCTCGAAAAACGGGCTGAAACACCCCCCAAAAAACGGGCCGAAAAAAGCCTAAAAAACAGGCTGAAAAAAGCCTCAAAAACGGGCCGAAAAAAAGTCTCAAAAAAAGGGAGGCCAAAAACTTTTTTGTTGTTTTCCTGTTCTAAATTTAGGTGCGTCTTATAGTCTGAAAAATACGGTATATTGTTTTATTTAGTTTTCTAGTATGATTTGATTGCTTATTTAGTATCCTATGACTATCACTAAGTGTTGTATGTTTTTAGTCTTGATGAATGTATTTCATTTTTTCTTTATGTACACTCAGAGCATATGCACCAAAGACAAATTCCCTGTGTGTCCAATCACACTTGGCCAATAAAAGAATTCTATTCTATTCTTTAAAAGATGCCTGGTTTGTAAAACACTAAAGATAGTCTTCACTTTACGACCACAATTGGCCCTAACATTTCTGTTGGTAGGGAAGAGAGTTGCTAAGGGAGTTTAGCCCTGTTTTACAACGTTCTTCCCTCCGTCGTTCAGCGAATCACTTCCGTTGTTAAGCCAGTCAGACGGATGTTAAATGAATCCAGCTTCCCGCTTGACTTGGTTTATCGGAAGGTCACAAAAAGGGGATCACATGATCCATTGCCACCGTTATTAAATATGAGTCAGTTGCCAAGCATCCGAATCTCGATCAGGTGACCCTGTGGGATGCTGCGATGGTCGTAAGTGTGAAAAACGGTCGTAAGTCACTTTTTCCAGTGCCGTTGTAACTTAGGTCACAAAATGAATGGTTGTAAATCAAGGATTATCTTATCCTGTCTCCTAGTCTTCTCTTTTGCGAGACAAATGTGCCCAGCAACTTTTAATTTTTCCTCATAAGGCTGGGTTTCTATACAGGTAGTCCTCAATTTAATGACCACGATTGAGCCCAGAATTTATGTTGCTAAGTGAGACATTTGTTAAGTGAGTTTTGCCCCATTTTATGACCTTTCTTGCTTTTCTTGAGAGGGGAGGAGAGGAGGAAAGAAAAGAAAGGAAAAGGAAAGAAGTAAAAGGAAAGGAAAGGAAAAGGAAAGAAGGAAAAGGAAAGGAAAAGACAAGGAAAAAGGAAAGGAAAGAAAAAGAAAAAGGAAAGAAGTAAAAGGAAAGAAAAAGAAAAAAAGGAATAAAAGGAAAGGAAAAGGAAAGAAAAAGGAAAGAAGTAAAAGGAAAGGAAAAGAAAAGAAGAAGTAAAAGGAAAGGAAAGGAAAAGAAAAAGGAAAGAAGGAAAAGGAAAGGAAAAGACAAGAAAAAGGGAAAAGAAAAGAAAAAGGAAAGAAGGAAAGGAAAAGGAAAGAAGGAAAAGGAAAAGAAAGGACAAGGAAAAAGGGAAAGGAAAAGAAAAAGAAGTAAAAAGAAAGGAAAAGAAAAAGGAAAGGAAAGGAAAAGGAAAGGAAAAGACAAGGAAAAAGGGAAAGGAAAAGAAGAAAAAGGAAAGAAGGAAAAGGAAAGGAAAAGACAAGGGAAAAGGGAAAGGAAAGGAAAAAGCAAAGAAGTAAAAGGAAAGGAAAAGAAAAGAAAAAGGAAAGAAGTAAAAGAAAGGAATGGAAAGAGGGTCCATTTGAACTACAGGCAGTCCTTGACTTACAACCATTTGTCACACAATCCCCTTTTTGCGACCTTCCGACAAGCAAAGTCAAGGGGGAAGCCCGATTCCATTCCCGACCCCCGACACTGACTTACCCAACCCTCAAGTCATTCACTCTGTGCTTACGGCAAAGAAAAATCGTAATGTGGGGGCAAAATTCACTCGACAAAAGGTTTTGAGCTTAGCAAACAGAAATTCCGGGCTCGACTGCGGTCGTAAGCCGAGGACTGCCTGCCTGCAGATGTTAAAAAAAAAAAAAAAGTGGGTTAATCAGTGGTGAAATCCTCCGCGGGTTGCTACAGCTTCGCTGCACGCCTGGGCGTACCAAACATGCGCTTCGCACGGAAAAAGGAGCCGTTTGAAGGCAAGTAGTCATTTCCCGACTTGACTACTGCAATGCTCTCTACATGGGGCTCCCCTTGAAGTGCACCCGGAAGCTCCAACTGGTCCAGAATGCGGCCGCGCAAGTAATTATGGGAGCAACATGGCGCTCACATGTAACACCTCTTCTACGCGAGCTGCACTGGCTTCCGGTGGCCTTCCGAGTACGCTTCAAGGTGTTGGTTCTTACCTTTAAAGTGCTCCATGGCTTAGGACCTGAGTACTTACAAGACCACCTGCTGCAACCGATAACCTCCCACCAACCAATACGCTCTCACAGAGTAGGCCTACTCATAGTCCCATCATTAAATCAATGTCGTCTAGTAGTTCCAAGGGAGAGAGCCTTCTCTGTGGGGGCACCTACTCTTTGGAACAAAATACCCCCCGGAATACGAATAATCCCAGATCTTCGCACTTTCCGACGTGCCCTGAAGACTTTTCTATTTCAACAAGCAGGGCTAGCATAAACATCTAAATTCTATGCCAAGGTCTTGCAGATACACCAAGTTGACTCAATTTATTATTTACTGTTTATAATATATATATGTGTGTGTGTGTATGTGTACAGTTAATATTTCGGGTTTCTTCCCGTGTAATTGTGAACATATCCCTAAAAGGGTAGAAGCGACGTTTCGACAGAATCTCATCTGCCATCATCAGGTTTATGTGAAGGGTCTTTTGAGATTCTGTCAAAACGTCGCTTCTACCCTTTTAGGGATATGTTCACAATTACACGGGAAGAAACCCGAAATATTAACTGTACACACATATATACCCGTGAAAACTTACATAGACAAGGTTATTCGGGTCTTCTCCCACGTAAAATTGTAAGTGTCTTGGCGACGTTTCGACGAAGTCTCATTCGTCATCTTCAGGCTGGTGTTCTCGGCTTCGTGCTTCCAGGAGCAATGTGAGATCGCAGCTGTCTCTTCCTTTTAACTGCTAGTGGGGGTGTGAGCTGATTGGGTGGGAACTTGGCTGTGTTCTGATTGGGTGGAGGTGTGTTCTGATTGGTTAGGGGCTTGGCTGTGCTCTGATTGGATGGGGACTTGGTTGTGCTCTGATTGGATGGGGGTGTGTTCTGTTTGGGTGGGGGCTTGGTTGTGCTCAGCTCAGTCTGAGTTGCAGGGGGATTTGAGCTGGTGAGCTGCGTTGTTGTTGTTTGGCTTCGTGTTTGTGGCCGTGCGAGCTCTTCATGGTGGGTGTCAGTCTGCTTCATGTATGGATTGGAGGGGTTTAAAGTGGCTAATGATGCAGCTGCGGTCTGGCTTCTGGTCCTTGGTCGTGGCTCGTTATCAGTGTGGGTTTGAGTCTGCTTTCTGCGTGGATGTGTGGTGGTGACATCCTGTGTGGCTCTCGTGAGTGTGGGTCTGGTGTCATTCGTCGTGTTAGGGACTCGTTTGTCAATGAGGGCGGGTTTCCAAATGGCTGGTAGGCGGGAGGTATCGTCTCGTTTGTTCATGCTGTGTGGGCGTTTTTCTATCTCGATGGCTTCTCTGATTATTCTGTTGTTAAAGTGTTCAGTTTTGGCGATAGTTCTGGTCTTTTTAAAGTCAATATCATGTCCTGTGGCTTTAAGGTGTTGGACCAGGGAAGAAGTTGGTTCCTCTTTTCTGACTGAGTTCTTGTGTTCTTCTATGCGTGCACTTATTCGTCTGTTGGTTTGTCCGATGTATGTGGTGGGGCAGGCGGTGCATATATAATATGTATATGAAATCTTAATCTGTTCATTACCCTGAGTCCTTCATGAGAAGGGCGGTATAGAAATTCAATAAATAAATAAATAAATAATAAATAAGTAGAACAGCGAAGGGGAGGGAACAGCTGGGCTGCGCGATTTAGATTTTGCTAGAAAGCAGGATCAGCAGAGCCGATCGTCGGAAATGCAGCTTTATACTGATCGTCAGAAATATATAGCTTTTTACTGCCGGTAGATTTTATCAGTTGTTTTTTTTGTTTGTTTTTTGTTTGTTTGTTTGTTTTTTGGGTTTTCCCCTCCCAAGGTACCGCCAGCCACAGTGGAGTACCTGAAGAAGCACGGGATCGACGTGATGGTCTTGCAGACGGAGATGGCCGTGAAGGAATATAACACCTTGGCTTCCCAGGGAGTCCGAGTGGGCGGAGTCTTCCATTCTACCTGCTGAAAAGGTCTGAGGACGGACCCCTCTCCCTCTCGGTCTTCCACCTGGTTCCTTCGGGGAAAATTCAAAGCAAGATTTTCTCCCCCACTGCTGTGTCAACTTTCCACCCAAGAATAAAACAATTTGCAAAAAATAAAAGCCCCGTGCCCCCCCCCCTCCAATTTTTATCAGCTCGTTGTTCAGGTGTGTAAAAGGAAAGAACAGGGTGGCTGGTGGCTCAGCAGACTGATAGCACTGTGATTAACACCAGCTGCCTGCAATTACTGTAAGTTCGAATCTCACCAGGCTCAAGGTTGACTCAGCCTTCCATCCTTTCTAAGGTAGGTAAATTGAGGACCCAGATTGTGGGGGCAATAAGCTGACTTTGTATAAATATACAAAAGTATGAAGGCTATTGCTTAATGCATTGTAAGCCGCCCTGAGTCTCCGGAGAAGGGCGGCATATAAATCAATTTTAAAAAAAGGGGGGGGGTCAGCTTTTGCCAGGTAGCCGATACGGAGGGGGAAAACACAGCCAGACGAGCTCATTATTCTACATTATTGTAAAGCTACAGTAGTGGCCAAAATTGTGGAAACCTTTTTGGGAAAAGTGTATTTTTGAGGTTTGATGGGTAATAACACCACTTTTTTGGGGGGGGGGAGTTTCAAGATAATGATATTCCACTGCTGGAATGGCCTGAGAATAGACCAGATCTTAACCCAATGGAAAATCTATGGAGCCGACTAAAAAAACTTGTAGGTCAGAAGCGACCCAGCACTAAAACCCAGTTAACAGAAGCCATCATTACATCTTGGTTTCACATTATTATAACAGCTGCAGAACTAAAAGACTTGGTTCCCTCCATGGGAAGACGTTGTAAGGCCGTCATTCATGCTAAAGATTACCCAACTGATATGGTGATCATTTTTGTATATCTCGTTTTTTTCTATGTTTCACTTTTCTTCTTTATACTGTAACTACTATTGTAGTAGCAAATCCTTCATAAAAGTGATTGCATTAAGGTAAAGGTAAAGGTTCCCCTTGCACATATATGCTAGTCGTTCCCGACTCTAGGGGGCGGTGCTCATCTCCGTTTCAAAGCCAAAGAGCCAGCGCCGTCCAAAGACGTCTCCGTGGTCATGTGGCCGGCATGACTAAATGTCGAAGGCGCACGGAATTCTGTTACCGTCCCACCAAAGGTAGTTCCTATTTTTCTACTTGCATTTTTTAATGTGCTTTTGAACTGCTAGGTTGGCAGAAGCTGGGACAAGTCACGGGAGCTCACCCTGTTATGCAGCCCTAGGGATTCGAACCGCTGGACTGCTGACCTTTCAATCGACAAGCTCAGCATCTTAGCCACTGAGCCACCGCATCCCCTATTGCATTACATTCTTGATTAAATTATCTTTCCATTGATATATAATTTTACGGTACTACTCGCCAAAAAAAGGTGGTGTTATTAGCTGGTTTTAGAAAATATACTTTTCCCAAAAGGTTTCCACGATTTTGGCCACTACTGTACATTAACAAAAATACTGACAATCTGAAAAGTACAGGGAGTCCTTGACTTACGGCCGCAGTTGAGGTCCGACATTTCTGTTGCTAAGTGAAACGTTTGCTCTGTGAGCTTTGCCCCATTTTTACGACCTCCCTTGCCACGGTTGTTAAGTGAATTGCTGCAATTGTGACGTTAGTTAACACTGTTGTTAAGTGAACTCGGCTTCCCCGAATTGACTTTGCTCATCCAAAGGTTGCCAAAGAGGGATCACATGACCTCGGTGACACTGCAACCCGTCACGAGTCAGTTGTCAAGCGTCCGAATGTAACATCATGCGACCATGGGGATGCTGCAACGGTCGTAAGTGTGAAAAACGGTCGTTACTTTTTTCAGTGCCGTAACTTCGGTCACTAAATGAACTGTTGTAAGTCAAGGACTACCTATGTTGTGCATTGAGCAGACCAGACATCTGAAGCATTGCACCCAATTCTGGCCACTGCATTTTAAGGAGGACATGGACAAATTGGGCTGTGTCCAGAGTGGGAGAGAGAGAGAGAGAGAGAGAGAGAAGGAGAGAGAGAAAGAGAGAGGGAAAAAGGGAGAGGGAGAGAAAGGGAGAGGGAGAGAAAGGGAGAGAGAGAGGGAGAAAAAGAAAGAGAGGGAGAAAGGGAGGGAGAAAGAAAGGGAGTGAGAAAAGGGAGAGAAAGAAAGAAAGGGAGAGAGAAAGAGGGAGAAAGGGAAACGGAGAAAGGGAGAGAGAGAAGGAGTGAGAAAAGGAGAGAAAGGGAGAAAGGGAGAGGAAAGACAGAAAGAGGGAGAGAGAAAGAGAGGGAGAGAAAGAAAGGGAGACAGAAAGGGAGAGGGAGAAAGGAAGGGAGAGAGGGAGAGAGAAAAAGGAAGACGGAGAAAGAGGGAAAGGGAGGGAGAAAAGGGAGAGAAAGAGAAGAAAGAAAGGGAGAGAGAGGGAAAGAAAAAGGGAGAGAGGGAGTGAGAGAAAGAGAAAGGGAGAGAAAGGGAGACAGAAAGGGAGAGATAGACGGAAAGGGAAAGAGAGAGAAAGAGAGCCTGGAACAGAGGGAAAAAGTAAGATACTAGAGAGGTAGAAATATTGAGGTATCTTCAGCCAGGGGAAGCGGGGTGGGGTGGGGGAAACAGTGGCACAATTGTTCCAAGTAATTTCCTGGGTAACTGGACCCCTCCGACTTAATCATTCCCAGGGAGTGAAATAAAAGAATCAAAATCAAATTTACGAGACGCCTTCGGTTCGGCTTTCAGGGGGAACAAGAGAAACAGATGTTACGTTATGTGATTCCCATGCACAAGATTTTTACAAGCGGTCTAGGGGATGTCGGTCGCTCAGAACGCTCCTTTCATCCATCCCTTTCACTATCCTTTCTTCCCTCCCTCCTTCCCATTTTCCTTAATCTTCTTTCCTTCCTTCCATTCCTCCGTCTCCCTTTCACTATCCTCCTCCCTTCCTTCTCTCTCTCCATCCTTCCAATTTTCCTTCCCGTCTTTTCTTCCTTCTACCCCTCCATCTCCTTTCAGTATCCTTCCTTTTTCCTCCCTCCCTCCCTCGTCGTCATCCTTCCTGCCTTCCCTTCACTAATATTCCTGTTTTCTCCTTCCTTCCATCCATCCTTCCTTCCCTCCCTACATCGTTCCCATTTTCCTTCCTGTCTTCTTTCCTTCCATCCCTCCATCTTTCACTAACCTCTTCCTTCCCTCCCTACATCCTTCCCACTTTCCTTCCTTCCTTCCACCCCATCTCCCTTTCACTATCCTCCCTCCCTCCTTCCTTCTCTCCCTCCCTCCCAATTTTACTTCCCGTCTTTTCTACCTTCTATCCCTCCGTCTCCCCTTTCACTATCCTTCTTTCCTTCGTGTTCCTTCCTTTCGTTTTCCTTCCTTTTTCCTTCCTCCCTCCCTCATCCTTCCTTCCTTCCTTTCACTCTAATATTCCTGTTTTCCTTCCTTTCATCCATCTCTTCCTCTCCCTTCCACTATCCTTCCTTCCCTTCTTCCTTCCTATCTTCTTTCCTTCCTTCGATCCCTCTATCTCCCTTTCACTATCCTTCCTTCCTTCTCTCCCTCCACCCTTCTGATTTTCCTTCCCGTCTTTTCTTCCTTCTATCCCTCCGTCTCCTTTCACTATCCTCCTCCTTTCCTTCGTTTTCCTTCCTATTTTCTTTCCTTTTTCCTCCCTTCCCATCATCCTTCCTCCGTTTCTTCCTTCCCTTCCTCCCCATCCATCCATCCATCCAAATTAACCAAAACTCTAGAGTTCACTCAAGAAATACTACTTACAGCATACAATAACATCACTAGGGAGGAGGCACAGTGCTATTTTAATAAATGTCAAAAAATATTAAATGATGGGTTCCCAAGTTGTGTGAAAACGAAACCACAAGATCACCTGAAAGCATCTTTGCCCGGGAGAAGTTTCCGTCTCAAAAAGAGAATCGCACACAACGTCTCTTCCCATTTATTCCACTGGCCCCACATAACCCGAGATAAAATGGTACATTCGGAGACCAGTCCAGATGCCAGAACGGTTTTTCTGTATCTCAACATGTCAACTGGGATCTTCGCATCAAGTCCACCAACTTCTTAAAAGATTGAGATGAGAAATTTTGATGGTTTTGTCCCTCATTTCACCACCGTGTAAAAAAAAAGTTGCTAAAAGAAACACTGTCCACCATCCTACCGTGTTTCCCCCGAAAATAAGACCCTGTCTCATATTTTTTTTTAACCACCAAAAATAGCACCAGGTCTTATTTTCGGGGCGGGAGGTGTTGTCCACTCACTCACCTCATTTGTGTGTGTCGCCCCCAACCTCTTTTACGCTATCGGAACTCTTCTTTCCCGAAGGCCTCTGCAGCCGATAACAGAGCTCCGGATCGATCCGAAGCTCTTGTTATCGGCTACAGAAACCTTCGGAAAAGCCTTGCCGGCTGCAGAAAAAAATGGGCCGAGGTGTGCAAAGACTGGCTGCAAGTGTCCCAAGGTAATTATAGCAGGGCAGCTCCACGCAGACCCCATTCCCCACCCTAGCTTAATTTTTACCTGTGCACCCTGGAGTGGGCGGGGTCTTAATTAGGGCTTATTTTGGGGGTAGGGCTTATATTGGATCCCCGTGTAAAAAATCAAGCTAGGACTTACTTTCTGAATAGGTCGTAAGTTTAAAGAAAGGCCAAAGGAGAGTGACCGAGATCCAGATTTTCCCAACCAGACACCCCCTCCCCCTCCAGATGTTTTGGACTGCAGAACTCTTGGCTGGGCAAGCTGGACCAAAACCATTTTGCATTTAAGGAGGCTGCCGAGCGACGGAGTAAACCACCGTAGCGAAGTCCGAGTAGCAACTTCTTTGACCGCTTCCCTTTCCAGCAGTTCCGCAAGCAGAGAAGAGAGCCGAGTTTTAACTTGTCCCGTCTGCCTCGTCCACTTCGATGGTCTTTACGGAAGTCCTACCAACTTCTGAAATCTCTTCCCCTCCCAAAAAAAAAAAAAAAAAAAAGGAAAACGATTTTGCAACGACAGCTTTCACCGTCTGGCAGGCTTGGGCATAATATAAACTTTGACCGGTTTGCCGAACAGGAGAGTCCCTTCGATGCTGCCCTCGGATGGGGGCAGGAGATCCGTGCTGTCTCCCCAGGCGGACCGCGAGAGGCCTACGGAGGCTTTGGTTCTGTCCGAACTGTAGGCCAGTAGAAGACGGAGTTCGATTTGACAAGGTTCTGGAGCAAAGGAAGAAAAGAAGGGAAAAGAGAGGGAAGGAAATTTCAAATCTACCAGGTTTCCAAAAAAGTAACTAACATACAGGTAAGTCCTCCACTTACAACCGTTCATTTAGTGACCGTTCGAAGTTACGACGACACTGAAAAAAGTTACAAGATTTTTTTTTCTACACGTTGCGGCATCCCCGTGGTCAGGTGATCAAAATTCAGAGGCTTGGCAACTGGCATGTACTTAAAACAGTTGCAGTGTCCCGTGATCAATTTTGCGATGTTCTGGCCAGCAAAGTCTACGGCAGAGGTCAGCAACCTGCAGCTCTGGAGCCGCATATGGCTCTTTCATCCCTCTGCTGCGGCTCCCTGTCGCTCAAAATATACGTCACAACCGCCAATGTGCGACACCCACTGGCACGCGATTTATTGAGCTTTTTAACCACCCGGTAGGCCAACCGTGGATAAATCCAAGAAAAGAAAAGTTTCAGAAGAAAACAGAACGTTTAATTAAACTACATATGCTAGTTTTGTGCCGCTTATGAAATAGTCAGGCACGGGAAGGGTTTTGTGGCTCCCGGTGTTTTCTTTTCTGTGGGAAACGGGTCCAAATGGCTGTTGTGGCCCCGCCCTCTGAGCCTATCTCATCGGAGGAAGAAAGCTCCGAACATGAGGGAGAGGAGTCAGCCAGGCCTCCCTCTCCAGGCCCCTCCCCTCTGGCACTGCCTCAGGTGCCGGCCGAGGAAGGGGAGATTGGCCAGGAGCCAGGTGTCTCTGATGAGGGCGAGGAAGGAGAGCCGTTGTTCCTGGATGCACGCCAACGAAGGCGTGATAAACGGCTGCAGCAGTTAAGGAGGCGTACTAGGGATTATAGCTGAGTCACTGGACCACACCCCAGAGACTATATAAGAGAGGGTGGTGGCTGGTAAAACTCCGTGACGAACAAAAACGAACTTTGGCTAGTCACTTGAACAACGTCTGAAGCTGCCGAAGGGATATTGTTTTGCTGGACTATTTGCAATGCGTATGTAATTTTATGTTATCTGTTGCAGTAAAACTCTTGGCAGACGGTGCTTATATTGTTGCCAAGTTTGAGATAACAACCTGTGTGCGTGCCAAGTACTTTCTTAACCCTCGGCTGGCTGTGTTTGTGTGTGTGTGTAGACGGGGACAGATCAATGGCTCTTTGAGTGTTTAAGGTTGCAGACCCCTGGTCTACGGGGGAAAGCCAGATTCACTTAACAACCGTGTTATTAACTTAACAACTCCGGTGATTCATTTAACAACCGTGTCAAGAAAGCTTGTAAAATGGGGCAAAACTCCCTTAGCAAATTTCTCCCTTAACAACATACATTTTCTGGCTCAATTGTGGTCATAAGCTGAGGACTACCGGGTAGGTACATAAACAATTCTTTTAAACACTGAGAAATGTACCCAGATGAAATCTACATTACATAATTTTTCCCAGTAGATCAAAAGAAGCTCTAAAGCCCAGTCTGCCCTACCTGTCCAGGCAGTATGTGAGAGATAAACCTGAGTAATTAACCGGTGCCTTCCTGGACCAGGGTTTCTAAAATCTGCCGGTTTCGGGTGGATCACCTGGGACTGGCCATCAGGATACATAATCTAGAAGGAAAAAGAGAGACTTGAAGTGATTGTCTCTTCTCCATCCTCAACCCTCGAATCATCAGTGAAGCAATACATTCAATTTCACAGCTACTAAGATTGTTGGCCGAGCAGGGACAAAAACAGCCAGGGAAATGGCTGTTCTGTACAGTGGTCTAAAGCACCCTGTTATTAACACAGCTGCCTGCAATTACTGCAGGTTCGAATCTTACCAGGCTCAAGGTTGACTCAGCCTTCCATCCTTTCTAAGGTAGGTGAAATGAGGACCCAGTTTGTGGGGGCAATAAGCTGACTTTGTATAAAATATACAAAAGGATGAAGGCTATTGCTTAACGCATTGTAAGCCGCCCTGAGTCTCCAGAGAAGGGCAGCATATAAATCAAATTTTTTTTAAAAAAAAAAATGATTGAAGCCTGGGAAATGGGTCCCTTGTCAGTTGTTGTGCTGATTTACTACCGGCTTATTAGATACTCAGGAGCCAAAGACTTAGCAGCACAAAGAAACAACAGCCAATGACTGAATAGCCGGCCATCAACACCCCAATTAAAACAACTAAAAAGCCACATGTAACCAGACACCACATAAATACTATGCATGGAATAGTCCCGTGATGGCGAACCTGTGTCGCCTGGCACGCACGGCATCACCCCATTCCTCTTCCGGTTTTCTGGCGCGCATACACAGGCGACAATCAGTTGGCCTTTGAGAGTGCAGCAGTGCCGGAAACTGGAGGAGGTGGTCTTCCATTTTCCAGCGTGAGCTGGCCAATCAGCCAGCTGATTGGCACATGCACGTGAGCGAGAGTAACCAGAAGACTTGCTGGCTGGCGCGCACGTGCGTGCCGGAAACCGGAAGTACCTTATCCGGTGTGCAAGATGCCCCCTGGGCAGCTCAGGTCGTGGCCCTGATGAGCACGCATGCAAAGTGCTCCCTTTTGGCACTCAGGTTCGCCATCACTGGACTAGTCCAAAGCACTCTTTCCTTCCTTTCTGTTTTCCTTTTTCTTTCCCCCCTCCCTTCTCATCATCCTTCCTTCCTTCCATCCCTCTGTCTCCCTTTCACTACCTCTTCCTCTCCCCTTCTGATTTTCCTTCCCGTCTTTTCTTCCTTCTATCCCTCTGTCTCCCCTTTCACTATCCTTCCTTCTTTTCCTTCCTTCTTCCTCCCTCCCCTCTCATCATCCTTCCTTCCTTCCCTTCACTCTAATATTCCCATTTTCCTTCCTTTCATCATCCTTCCATCCCTCTGTCTCCCCTTTCACTATCCTTCCTTCTTTTCCTTCCTTCTTCCTCCCTCCCCTCTCATCCTTTCTTCCTTCCCTTCAAATATTCCCGTTTTCTTTCCTTCCTTTCATCCATCCTTTCCTCTCCCTTCTACTATCCTTCCTTCGCTCCCTACATCGTTCCCATTTTCCTTCCTGTCTTCTTTCCTTCCTTCCATCCCTGTCTCCCTTTCACTATCTCTCCCTCTCCCCTTCTGATTTTCCTTCCCGTCTTTTCTTCCTTCTATCCCTCTGTCTCCCCTTTCACTATCCCTCCTTCCTTCTTTCCTTCGTTTTCCTTCCTTCCTGTTTTCTTTCCTTTTTCCTCCCTCCCTCTCTTCTCATCATCCTTCCCTTCCTCCCCATCCATCCATCCAAATTAACCTTGTTCTAATCCAGGACCATTGGTGGGTTGCTCCTGGTTCGGTCCCATTCTATAGAACCGGTAGTAAAACTGGCGGGAAGCTCCGCCCACCCACCGTGACGTCATCACGGGTGATCTGCGCATGCGCAGAAGCTTCTGCGCATGCGCGCGTTCCCGCTACAAACCGGTAGTAAAGATAAGTGGAACCCACCCCTGCCCAGCACGGTGAACTTCGTGGCTCCATTCCCATTACCTGAACTTTCACTGTGCTTTGTGGATCTTGCACGTGTTCCAGAGTGGCGTCCACATCCAGAGCAACAACTAACCCTGACGTGAAGCGCAGGGGATTGTCGGACTCTCCCGTGGGTTCAATAATGGTGGCAGTTGCTCGGTGGACCTGGGGGCAAGAAATGGGGCAACATCAACCTACGTTTTTTTGTGTCGAAGCGTGAATCAGCCTCGTTCCCCCCCCCTGGCGAAACTGTAATTAATTAGAGGCGAATGGATCTTGTTTTCCATGCTGTATACTTTCAAAGAAAGAAAACCCGAATGTATTCTAAGAAACATTTTATTATAAAAGTAAAAAAACTAGCTAACTACATTTTACCGGCAATCTTATCACACAGACGGACAAAGGAAATATAAATCAGGAAGTTAGAAAAGAATGTAGACATGCGCAGTAGTCCAATGCCTCACAAGACAGTCTTATCTCAGTTGCTACAGATAAGTTCTCTGGCCAGGCTACCGTAAGTCTTAGGATGGAAGCTCAGCTGGCAAACACTTAACACAGTGACATCTTGAGATGAAGCAAACCTTCCCTTTTCCAATCCCTGACCTTCTACAGCAGTGACAGCTAACCTTTTTGCCGTCGCGTGCCAAAAGCGGGGGGAGCGCGGCAAGGTTGCCCATGTGTGTGCCCACACCCATAATTCAATGCACCCCACCCCTATGCATGTGCCCCCCCTTTTAGCACATGATGGCACAGTGGGCCCGGTAGGCCCATTTTTCACCCTCCCCAGGCTCCAGGGGCTTTCTAGGAGCCTGGGGAGGGCAAAAACAGCCTTCCCCACCCCTTCAGAGGCCCTCCGGAAGCCGGAAACAGCCCATTTCCCAACTTCTATCTCTATCTCTCTCTATATATCTATCTCTATTTATCTATCTATCTAGCTGCATTCTTTCTATATCATGTCAGACAGACTATCTATCGCCCATTTATCTCCCTCCCATTTATTTATCTGTCTGTCTAAATCCCATCTATCTATATCCTATCTATATCCTCTCTATCCATCCATCCATCCATCCACATTCCATCTATCTATATATCCTAACTATATCTATATCCTTTCTGTCTATCTATATCTTATCTATCTATATTCTATCTATATCTATATATTTTACATATCCTTCCTTCCTATCTATCAACCCTGTTTTCCCCAAAATAAGATACCACCTGATAATAAGCCCAATCGGGCTTTTGAGCGCATGGCAATAAGGCCAAGCGCTTATTTCAGGGTTCAAAAAACTATAAGACAGGGTCTTATTTTCGGGGAAACATGGTATGAGAAACCCACCGCTGATTAAGGGCCCTGTTTCCTGTCTATATTGTTAACAGGTCTCCTTTATTTTGGCCATGTCATGCGGTGCAATTCCCTGGAGAAAGCGATTATGTTGGGAAGGGTTAGTGGTAAAAAGAACACAATGGTGGGACAGAATCAAAAGCTGACACCAAGCCAGAGCATAGAGCAACTCTGTGCTGTTAATGCTTTCTAATTTTTTTAATTGTTTTAAAATGTCTTTTAAAAAAATTAATTGTAGTATATGTTCTGAATTGAAAGCCACCCAAAGTCATTTACTGAGATGGGCAGCTGTAGGAATTGAATGAAGAATGAATGAATGAATGAATGAATATATTTATGAATGAATGAATGAATGTATTTATGAATGAATGAATTTACAAATGAATGAGTCAATTTATGAATGAATGAATTTACGAATGAATGAATGAATGAATTTGTGAATGAGTGAATGAATTTATGAATGAATGAATATATTTATTTATGAATGTATTTATGAATTTATGAATGAATGAATATATTTATTTATGAATATATTTATTTATGAATGAAAATGTATTTATGAATTTATGAATGAGTGAACTTGTGAATGAATGAGTGAATGAATGAATGAATGAATGAGTGAGTGAATGAATGAGTGAATGAATGAAATCTCACCTTCTCTGGCAATGGAAGGCGAAGGAAATTACTCTGTCTCAAGGTCACCCGGAGGATCTTCACTACCTCTGAAGGCTTGGAGGTGACCAACCTGGGCATCAGGTCAAGAAGCTTATCCACAAAGCTGCCCTGCATCTGAGGCAGCTCAGAAATAAAACACCTGTGAAAGGATGAGAGGACAGAGAAATCGAGGCATGACAACACAGAGGCATAAAAAAATGTGTATTACAACAGCTATTTTTTTTTTATTAAAACAAACTGGAAATATAAAGTCAAGAATAGAAAGCGATTCCGCTAAAAATAATGAAAGAATACATGTATGACTAAAAGGAACATGAGAAGAAAAATGAGACTACGATCAAACTATTGATAACTAGAACTAATAACTAATTATTACCTTTCTGAGAGTAGGGTTATGTCTATGTGTATGTGTGTAACAAATTCTTGTGTCAACCCTGATAGCTTGTGGATGCAAAAGAGAAGGAAAATTGAGACAAGGGCAACCTTGTGACAAAGGGGCGTGTACCTGTTTGCACCTGAGGAATATCTAACCAGACAGTACACACCTTTGAAAAGAGTCCACTTCCTGCAAAAATTTCTCGCATATCCCGAGCGGTTCCACCCTGTGACAAAGATACAAAGTCCATCTTGATTTTGGCCGGTTGCAAGTCACGTCCAGACCAAGAAATCAGACACGATTATTCTACAGAAAAGCTGGCGTGGGAATGCAAGCGATGCAAAACAAATTTCCATTCCAATTCGTATTTATTCATCAATTCAGCGCAAGGCCTTTGGTAAACCACTTTGGAACCTACACCAAATTTGAAATTGGGGTGGGGGGGTGTGAATTTGCTTTGGACAAGTGCCATCCACATCATTAAGTAATGATCAGGCTGAGGGAGGAGTCAAACGCGTCACACGTCACAAGTCCCTTCGCACCCACGAGCGATCCAAGTCCAGCCTACTTGTGACTTCCTTATTTACTGCCAAATTGCTTTAACTGTTAGTAGTTCAGATTCTTGCAGAGTGTTTAAGCTTACAATAAATCTTTATTCGAACTGCCTGGACCTCCCGATTTCCCTGGCATGTGACAATTACGACCATTCGTTCGACGACCATTCAAAGTTACAATGGTGCTGAACAAATGCTGATTATAACCGGTATTTCAGAGTTACGGCTACCTCAGCATCTTATGGTCATATGATTGTGATCTGGGCGCTTGGCAATCAGTTTGCATTTATAATGAGGTGCCGAGCACTCTCTGATCACATGATCGCTATTTGCAATGTTGTCTACCAGTTTCTCCAGAAAGTCAATGGGAAAGCCGGCAGGAAACCTTGCAGATAATTGTAGTACGTTTCCACCACATGTGCATTATTCCCCAGTCTCTTTGTCCTCATTTGCACAACTCTGCAGACTCTTCCCATCCTGGGTACCACTTCCCACACATGCCAGGCACCCTCCCCAACAGGCACCCCATGCGCAACACCTAACCACGCAGCATCTCTCGCATCCTGCCCCATGTCCTCTCCAACCCATGGGGTGTCTCTCACACACATCCCAAATGATTCGCAATGCACCATTCCCAACCTTCACCTGCATCCCTGTATACCCACTCCTCCCTCCCTCCCCCATCTGGCAACAACCACTTACCTAACTGCTATTCTGGGACTTGAGAATTCCTGCCAGCTTCCCTACTGACTTTGGTTGTGGGAAGCCGGCAGGAAGATGCCTCACCTAATGATTGTGGGATTCCGTTAACGATGGCAAACGGGACAGCCGGAATTGCCGTCATTAAGCAAAGCGGTTGCACTTTACAATCGCATCACTTTGCGATGGAAATTCCAGTTTCTTTTGTCATAGTTAGTCAAGGATTATCTGTAAAATTTCCCTATTTATTTATGTATGTATCTGGTCACTAAGAATAACAGAATAATGGAGTTGGAAGGGATCTTGGAGGTCTTCTAGTCCAACCCCCTGCTCAGGCAGGAAACCCTATACTATTTCAGACAAATGGCTGCCCAATCTCCTCTTAAAAATCTCCGATGTTGGAGAATTTTCTGGAGGCAAGTCGTTCCACTGATTAATTGTTCTCATCATTTAGGAAATTTCTCCTAAATTCTGTTCTATTCCTATTCCTTAATCTGTTCTGTTCTATTCTATTCTAATCCTGAATTCTATTCTATTCCTAAATTCTACCCCATCACATCCAATTCTATTCTATTCTATTCTATTCTATTCTATATTCTATTCTATATCCTATCCTATCCTATCCTATCCTATCCTATCCTATCCTATCCTATCCTATCCTATCCTATCCTATCCTATCCTATCCTATCCTTTATTGGTTCTTGTCCTGCCTTCAGGTGCTTTGGAAGAGTCAACACCAACCCAACAGCACATAATTTTATTTATTTTTTATTTATTTTATTAAATTTCTATACCGCCCTTCTCCCGAAGGACTCAGGACGGTGAACAGCTACGAGATAAAACACATAAATACAAAAATTTAAAATAGAATAAAAACGAATTAAATAATTTGGCTGAGAAAAATTTAAAATACCCCATAATTTAAAAACAAATTAAAATTTACATTTAAAAAGGGGAGAGATTTAGGCCAGGCTAGCTTGATGAAATAAGAAAGTCTTGAGCGCGGGACGGAAGGTGCGCAGATCCAGGATCCTCCGTATCTCCGGGGAGAGCTCGTTCCAGATCGTAGGTGCCCCCACAGAGAAGGCTCTCCCCCTGCGGGCCGCCAGTCGACACTGTTTGGCCGACGGCACCCGGAGGAGCCCCTCTCTATGGGAGCGTACTGGCCGGTGGGAGGCTATTGGTGGTAGCAGGCGGTCCCGTAGATAACCAGGTCCTAAGCCATGGAGCCATCAATCGATCCAAAGCTTTGCAAAGCTTTATGAGCCAACTATAGTCAGTAACTCAATCCACTTTCTGCTAATTTCTGTCTCCAGTGATCTGGCATCCCCAAAAGTCCCAGAAAACCTCCTTACCCTCTCGTTGTCCGCACGGTCACAATCAACTGCAGGGCCTTGGCCTGCAGCCTCATATGGTGGATGATGACCACTTGCCGATGCTCCACGTTGCTGTACATGAACTCCATCTTGTATGTTTCTTCCATAATCTAGACGAGAAGGGACTCTTTTTTTAAATTCTTTGGGGGGTGGGGGCTACCGAAAGATGGCTTCACCTGGAAAATGGTGTGTTGGCTAGTTCAAACCCACAATGGCTGAAGTAACCGCACAATACAACACAATCGAAGCAATCATCAAGAACCTCTTCTTAACATCTGTTGTAAACCACCCAAAGTCACTTGCATGAGATGGGTGGTGTAGAAATTAGATACAGTAGATAGATAGACAGACAGACTGATGGATGGATGGACGGACAGACAGACAGACAAATAGATGTAGGTAGAGATAGATATAGATATAGATAAAAGATAGATAGATAGATAGATAGATAGATAGATAGATAGATAGATAGATAAGATAATTAGAACTGCAGAAAAAACAATTACTACCAACCTGCCTTCCATTGAGGACCTGTATGCTGCACAAGTCAAAAAGAGGGCTGGGAAAATATTTACAGACCCCTCACTTCCTAGACATAAACTGTTTCAACTCCTACCCTCAAAACGACGCTATAGAGCACTGCACACCAGAACAACTAGACACAAGGACAGTTTTTTCCCCAAATGCCATCACTCTGCTAAACAAATAATTCCCTCAACACTGTCAAGCTATTCACTAAGTCTGCACTACCATTAATCTTCTCATCGTTCCCACCACCCATCTCCTCTCACTTATGACTGTATGACTGTAACCTTGTTGCTGGTATCCTTACGATTTATATTGACTGTTTCCCTATGACCATCATTAAGTGTTGTACCTTATGATTCTTGACAAATGTATCTTTTCTTTTATGTACACTGAGAGCGTATGCACCAAAGACAAATTCCTTGTGTGTCCAATCACACTTGGCCAATAAAGAATTCTATTCTATTCTATTCTATTCTATTCTATTCTATTCTATTCTATTCTATTCTATTCTATTCTATTCTATTCTATTCTATTCTATTCTATTCTAGATAGATAGATAGATAGATAGATAGATAGATAGATAGATAGATAGATAGATAGATAGATGTAGAGATATAGATGATGAATGAGAGATGAGAGATCATATATAAAAGATATATAAATGATAGATATGATGATAGATAAAAGATAGATAGATAAGATACCTAGACAGATAGATAGATAGATAGATAGATAGATAGATAGATAGATAGATAGATAGATGTAGAGATATAGATGATGAATGATAGATGAGATGATATAGTATATAAAAGATATATAAATGATAGATAAAAGATAGTTAGATAGATAAGATACCTAGACAGACAGACAGATAGATGTAGAGATATACTGTAGATGATGAATGATAGATGAGAGAGATTATATATAAAAGATAAGATATATAAATGATAGATATGATATGATAGATAAAAGATAGATAGATAAGATATCTAGACAGACAGATAGATAGATAGATAGATGTAGAGATATAGATGATGAATGATAGATGAGAGAGATGATATATAAAAGATAGATATATAAATGATAGATATGATAGATAAAAGATAGTTAGATAGATAAGATACCTCCTAGACAGACAGACAGATAGATAGAGATATAGATGACGAATGATAGATGATAGAGAGAGGTGATAGATGGATGGATGGATGTAATAGACAACAATGAAAAAAGTAACTGATGACAAGTGCTCCCATTTATAACCATCACAGCATCCCCGCAGTCATCTGATCAATTTGGCTGCTTGGCAACCGGCAGAGTTGCAGCATCCCGGAGTCACGTGATCACAATCTGTCCCCTTCCCAGCCAGCCTCTAATAAGCAAAGTTAATGGGGGAGGGGGGAGCCAGATTCACTTAATGATCGTGCGATTCCCTTCACAATGGCAGGGATTCCCTTAAGAACCATGGCAAAAGAAATGGTAAAATCGGACGGGACTCACTGAACAACCGTCATGCTTAAACACACTCCAACCTGGAGCTACAAATATTCTCTTTTGTTCTTGTTGTGACCTAGGCTTCCTGAGCCATTAAAACATACAAATAGTCCCAAAAACCTCTTTTATTGCAATAGCTGTGAATTACGTTCATTCGCAGCTGAGTCCCCATTAGTTGCAAAAAAGTCCTTCGGGATAATCACCCACCTTTATCTCCCTTGAACTCTGCCAAAGACCTACTTGGCAAAGCCCCAGAGAGTCCAGAATCAAACAGAGATGCCGACTGGGAACAGATCTAGCAACATTGCTTTCCTGCAAAGGGCCCACGTGCCTTTGCTCCTCTTTTAAGCCTTATGGAAGGGGCCAATCATTTCCAGGCCTTACTCCCGAGTCGTCCCTTTTGTTTTAACTGTTCTTGCCTTCTGGTAGCTCTGCGCATGTGCGCACTAGGAACAGGCTTCTCCTGTTCCTCTGCCTCTCTGATGTCCGACTCTGGAGGCTCTGGAGTCCGCACATAACTCCCAGATGGCCCTGGCCCTATCTCTGCCTCTGACTCAGAGCCCTCGTCTGAGCCTTCCCCAGACTCCAGGACTGGCCTATGTTCCTCCCCAGCCTCCTCACTGTCCAACTCCACTGCCAGCTCCGCAGGCTGCTGGCGGACCACAACACTTCTTGGTTTTCCTACCGCCCCTGAGCCAACAATACCCAGCCCAAACAATTCTCCGTTCCCACCCAGAGGTTCCGTCCCCCACTCCACAAGATAACAACATCCTGTGCGAATGTGAAGAGACGCAAAGTCCGGCCCATTTGTTGGTCTGCCTATTACTACCAGTAGAATGTGCCCAAAAGTGATTTGTTTCTGGCTAACATCTTCTTTTCACGACCCCATAATCTCTTGCGGGGTGGAGTCTGGGCAACTGAATGGAACGAGCAGAGTGTTTATTGGCCAGATGCCCTTCCCTGTCGCCAGTGCGGAGTTTTGTTCAGCAGATATATTCTCACTGTGCCCAGAGAGAGAAATATCTGCCTCTACCTAGGATCGAACTCACAGCCTCCTGATAGGACACCGCACCACTGTTTGTTTGTTTCTGACTTACGATTTAACCAAAAAGGTGGCAATCAGCCCCGTTACCTTCCTGGGGTAATTGCCTGAGTTAGAGGTGAATCGTGGCATTTTCCTTGTGTATACTTTTGCAAGAAAATAAACCCGAAGATATATTTTCTAAGAAAAACTCATTTATTTGTTATAAAGAAAATAAAACATCTCACTAGTCTAATTAGTTACATCTTGGCAACGTTCCTGCCGGACCTCTCTTGGCAGGAGAACAAAAAAAGTTTTTAGAAGACAGTGAAGGAATGTAGACATGCGCAGTTAGCTTACTGATAAGAAACTTGGCAAGCTACGGTAAATCTGAAAGTCCAAAAATAATAGCTCATCTGGTAAATACAAAAACGCAGTGACAGTTGAAAGGTTTGATCTGGACACAAAATAAATAAATAACCCACCTCACCCCACCTTCCCAGCATACCTGCCGAGCTGCAGCTAAGGCCAGAGCGTTCTGTTTCACGTAAAGGGGAGCTGCGACGTTCCAGAGTTTTTCCTGCAGAGCCTGAAAATAAAACGAGACCCAGAGTGTTTTTTCCCCAACAGATCTCACGTGGGGAACGTTGTCGCCTGCAACAACCTGTGCGATGGAAAACTCCGGATCTCACAGGTGAGGCCGAGGGGACCTTGGACTGCACGTCGGAGGGTTGGTTCTAGAGATTCTCGGTCATCCAGACCATGGGTGTCCCAAAGACCCAAACGGGCCTGGTGGCTCAGCAGACTGATAGCATTGTGATTAACACCAGCTGTCTGCAATTACTGTAAGTTCGAATCTCACCAGGCTCAAGGTTGACTCAGCCTTCCATCCTTTCTAAGGTAGGTAAATTGAGGACCCAGTTTGTGGGGGCAATAAGATGACTTTGTATAAATATACAAAAGAATGAAGGCTATTGCTTAACGCATTGTAAGCCGCCCTGAGTCTCCGGAGAAGGGCGGCATATAAATCAAATTAAAAAAAAACAAACTAAGATGCTGTCAACCCTGAAACTGACCTGACCGAAGCCATTTTTTACCGCTTCAATGTTGCCACACTGGAGCTGAGGAATAGGGAAATGGGATTTGAGATAGGAGGGACTCTGTAGCCAAAACAAAACATTTTCTCTTGGGAACCAAGGACATTCTAGAAAAACTTTTAATTAGGTCAAAAAAGTGCGGGAGACTTCAGAGTCGGTTTTCACCAGGTATGTGCCAATATGGTAAGTCTAATAAAGCTATTCTTTGAGGAATCTACCTGCCTCGGAGTTTTGCTTGCTATGGATCTGTTATTTGGAACCCTGACAGATGCTTTATTAAGAGGCAACTGAACTTTTTCTTTGAAGACGTTTTGCTTCTCATCCAAGAAGCTTCTTCAGCTCTGACTGGATGGTGGGGAATGGAAGGACTGATGCTCCTTGAGGTCATCTGGTCGCTAGCACTCCCTCTGAAAGTCGTTGAGGCCACTTGAAGGCCTCATAGGAGAACACTGGAGAACAAACCTATCCGGATAAAATTCAGCAGTCCGTATCTTCATTTAAAAGACAAAGGCCACTCTTTTGAAGACAGCAAAGTCCACATTTTGGACAGAGGAGACTGCTGGTTTGAAAGAGGGGTCAAAGAGGTCATCTAGGTCAAAATTGAACCGCCCTCTCTCAACGGAGGGCGGTTGGGGGCGAGACATTGGCCCAAACGGAGAGGGCGCGTAACTTGGGTGTCCTTCTGGATGCACGGCTGTCTTTAGAAGAGCGTATGACGGCCGTGGCCAGGGGGGCTTTCTATCAGGTTCACCTGATACGCCAGTTGCACCCCTTTCTGGATCGGGACTCCTTATGCATGGTCACTCATGCCCTCATCACTTCCCGCCTGGACTACTGCAACGCTCTCTACATGGGGCTCCCCTTGAGGAGCACTCGGAGGCTCCAACTGGTGCAGAATGCAGCCATGCGGGTGGTTATTGGGGCGACATGGCGCTCCCACGTGACACCTCTCCTGCGCAAGCTGCACTGGCTTCCAGTGGTCTTCCGGGTATGCTTCAAGGTATTGGTTCTCATCTTCAAAGCACTCCAAGGCTTAGGGCCCAGTTATTTACGAGACCACCGTCTGCCACCAATAACCTCCACCAGCCAATACGCTCCCACAGAGAGGGCCTCCTCAGGGTGCCATCGGTCAGGCAATGTCGGCTGGCGACCCCCCCGGGGAAGAGCCTTCTCTGTGGGGGCACCCGCCCTCTGGAATGAGCTACCCCCAGGGATACGACTGATCCCGGACCTCTGTACCTTCCTTCCGTAAGGCCCTGAAGACTTTTTTATTTCAGCAAGCCGGGCTGGGTTAAAAATCTTTTAATTGCTGAATTTTATGGGTAAGGGGTTTTAAATTGGGGGTAGCCAATATAAATTTAATTTTGTTTTTATAGTATTTTAATGTTTATATTGTATGTTTTTTAATTTTGGCTGTTCACCACCCCGAGTCCTTCGGGAGAGGGGGTGGTATAAAAATTTAAAAAATAAATAAATAAAATAAATACGACATCATCTCTCTCTAGTCTACAACATGATCCTTTTGAGTAGTTCCAAGGAGGTTCCACCCCCATTTGCACCACTCAGGTGACCCTGAGGACAGATAAACCTCCAAGTGGCCTCAATGACTCTCTAAAAGAAGGTAAATGACCAGCTGTCTGTGAGGACTATAAATCCTTCCATCTTTCACCATTTAGTCAGAGCTGAAGAAGCTTCTTGGATGAGAAGCAAAACGTTGTCAAAGAAAAACCAGAAAGTCCAGTTGCCTCTTGAAAAAAAAAAAAAAAGCATCTTCGAGACAACCATAAATCTGGATGACGGAGAATCTCTGTAGATGGACTGAAAGGGAATAGCTGGTTCCATGTAATTTCCTAGCTTATACCAGGGGTGGGCAACTGTGGCCCTTTTACAACCTGTGGACTTGAAGTCCACAGATTGTAAAAGGGCCACAGTTGCCCACCCCTGGCTTCTACCAATGTTTTGCCCCAGCTATGAACCCCAAAGAACGCAGCACACACAAAGTCCGTACAAACCTTAAGTTTACTAATTAAGGACTACTAATGAGCTTTCTTAATAGTTGTTCGAACACAAGTGCAGTTTAAATCAGTCTTTTCTGAACAAGGGCTGTTAATTTAACTTCATTAACAGCTGACAAGAAATCCAAAGAATAATAACTCAATTCTGAGGCACAGTATTTCAGATAACCGTAATCTTACTGTGGTTGGCAGAATGCCCAGAAGCAATTTGCAGGAAAACTGACAAGAGAGAAACAAGAGCCGAATCAAACATTTCTGGAATCAAGACGCGAAGGAATATGAACGAAGTTGTTTCCTGCAAATTGCATCAGTCATCGTCCTTCCTTAAATAGGCTAGGGGCGTGGCCAATTAGCCCCAAGCCTTACTCTCGAGGAGACCTCCTCCTGAGGAGCCACTCCTGCCTTTTAACAGCTCTGCGCGCTCGTGCATTGAGAAGAGGCTCCTCCTCTTCTTCCTCTTCACTTATGGGAGCTTCTGGAGGTTCTGAAGGCCCTGGCTGAATCCCCGCGTCTGGCACCACATCTTCTCCAGCCTCCTAATTTTCTGACTCGAGCGCCAGTTGCACAGGCTGCTGGCGCAGCACCACACCAGCCTCCTCGCTGTCGGAATCAGCTACTAACTGCACAGGCCACTGACGGGCCACAACAATCAAGAGTAAGGAAACACAAAGCAGTTGTAAACGCATACCTTAATGAGAAGGAGCTGGCAGCGTAGGTAAGCGGCAGAGAAGTCAGCCATGCCAGCTAAGTCGGACTGCAATTCTCCAAACCTCTGGAGGTCCCTGGGCCAAAGAAAGCAAACATATAAAGGAGTCCCTGTAGGTTTGCCATGCTAAAGGTAAAGGTTTGGAATATATATTTGAATATTAGTAGCTTGGGTTGGTAGTTGGGCTGTTCATTTGAGCTCCAAGCTTGGCAATTTGCTTGGCAAACATTTCGTCACCATTCGAGGAGACATCGTCAGTGTGCTCTGAATTGGGTTCGTCTGTGAGAGCACTGGCCTTAAATACCTTTTCATGGGATGCAAATTAGCATTAGTGTTTTTTCCCCCCGTCCAGTCGTGACTGACTCTAGGAGGCAATGCTCACCTCCGTTTCTTAGCCGAGGGAGCCAGCGTTGTCCGAAGACAATTTCTGTGCCCAGCACTGTCAAAGGCGCACGGAACACTGTTATCTTCCCACCGAAGTGATACCTATTCATCTACTCGCATTTGCGTGCTTGCAAATGGCTAGGTAGGCAGGAGCTGGAGCAAGGAACGGGAGCTCACCCTGTCCCATAGCGAGCGGGTCTCGAACCTGGCCTGTCAACTTTCCAGCTGACAAGCTCAGTGTCTTTAACCGCATCGAGCCCCCTTTACTATTCATAGCCAACTTTGGGGGAGGAGAAGTGCTCATCTCTGTTTCTAGGCCACTGAAGGTGAAGACATTTCCACAGACATGTGGCCAGAGTGACATCACATCGCCGCACAGAGCATGCAGCGAAACACAGTGCCTTGTTACCTTCCCACCGAAGTGGTACCTATTAATCTACTCGCGTTTGCATGCTTTCGGACAGCTAGGTGGGCAGGAGCTGGAGCAAGGGACGGGAGCTCACTCCTTTATGCAGTGGTAGGACTTGAACCGCCGGAGCACAGATCTTCTCCGGTATCTTTTAAGTCACTGAGCCACCATGCCTCCATGGGCACAGAAAAGAGTGGAGGAAATTCTGCTTTGTTAGCAAGAGACAATCAGGATTTTGGCTTGTTTAAGTTCTCAAAGACAGGCTCAGCTGAGTTCCCAAGGATAAACTAGAGATGGAAGATGGATTTGTGCAGCTACTTTGGACACCAACCCTACACTGCTGAATACAGGCAGCCCATTTAAGGGTTTGGGGACTAAGAAACAGAAAACTATGCGGAGAATTCGGTGGATGAATTCACCCAATTGGGTGAAGATGTCCAGCCCGCCCCTCTCTCATTTCCCAAAGCCAGTACCGAATGGTGAATTCCAGCAGCTCCTGAGTGCCCTGTGGATCCAGATGCTGAAGACTGAAAACTCTTTCGAGGCTCTGCTGTAGAAATTCCTGAGAAGGATCTTCTTGAAGGGTGAGGCTGGCAGGGCCGGAAGAAGAGGCTATCTTTTTCCCAGGCAGCTATATAAAAAGCAAAACAGAAATAAGACATAAAAGAGAAGAGGGAAAGAGGGGAAGGGAAGAGAGGCGAGGCAAGGCAAGGCAAGGCAGAGGGAAAGGAAGGGAAGGGAATGAAGAGAGTGGGAAGGAAGAGAGAGGGACAGGAAGGGAAGGAAGAGAGTGGGAAGGAAGAGAGAGGGGAGGGAAGGGAATGGAGAGAGGGAAGGAAGAGAGGGGGAAGGGAAGGGAGGGGAGGGAAGGAAATGAAGAGAGTGGGAAGGAAATGAAATGAAGAGAGAGGGAAGGAAGAGAGACGGGAGAGAACAAAAGGAAATGAAGAGAGAGGGAAAGAAGAGAGTAGGAAGGGAAGGAAGAGAGAGGGAAGGAAGAGGGGGAATGGAAGGAAGAGAGAGGGAATGAAGAGAGAGGGAAGGGAAGGAAGAGAGAGGGAAGGAAGAGAGAGGGAATGAAGAGAGTGGGAAGGAAGAGAGCAGGAAGGGAAGGAAATGAAGAGAGAGGGAAGGAAGAGAGAGGGAAGGGAAGGAAGAGAGTGGGAAGGAAGAGAGAGGGGAGGGGAGGGAAGGAAATGAAGAGAGTGGGAAGGAAATGAAATGAAGAGAGAGGGAAGGAAGAGAGGGAAGGGAAGGGAAGGAAGAGAGAGGGAAGGAAGAGAGAGGGAAGGAAGAGAGGGAAGGGAAGGGAAGGAAGGGAGAGGGAAGGAAGAGAGGGAAGGGAAGGGAAGGAAGAGAGAGGGAATGAAGAGAGGGGGAAGGAAGAGAGAGGGAAGGGAAGGGAAGGGGAAGGGAAAGGTTCAGTCAGTCATGCAGTTTCCAACACATGTGCCCTGCAATGCGTTATTTCCCTTTAGAAGAGCTGGCTTCTCATCTAAGGCATCTTAAAATTGCCATGTTTGTGCTAAGGACTGTCCTAATAGGATCTGCCTCTCATGGGCAACCCGGAGGCCGTGGGTGACACCCCCCACCCCCGCCCAGCCCACCACATGTGTGGCTTCTAGGACCTTCCAGAAACAGAAAGCTAACATGTTCAAAATGTCACATGAGAAGCAGTAGAGGATTCCACTTAACCTTCGTCACCGGTTCAGAACTCGCTTCGCTCACACATGGCGCTTCTGCGCATAGCGTCCGTGATAATGTCCGGGCGGGTGGGCGGAGCCTCCCGTCGTCACCGGTTAGAAACCCACCACATGAGAAGTCGAGGACTTATAAAACTTGTATTTGTACTTTTGTAAATTTGTATTTGTAAACTTTGTACACTTGTAAAAACACTTGTCATGGATGCCCAATGACTTACCCTCATTCATCCCAATGACTTTTTTTTTTTTTTTTTTAATTTGATTTATATGCCGCCCTTCTCCGGAGACTCAGGGCGGCTTACAAATCCGCTAAGCAATAGCCTTCATACTTTTTGTATATTTTATACAAAGTCAGCTTATTGCCCCCAGAAACTGGGTCCTCATTTCACCTACCTTAGAAAGGATGGAAGGCTGAGTCAACCTTGAGCCTTGGAGAGATTCGAACCAGCAGAAATTGCAGGCAGCTGTGTTAATAACAGGGTGCGTAGACCACTGTACTATCAAGGCTCTGTGAAGGCTCTATCAAGACTTACCCGCAAAGGCGGCACAAGGTGCCAGAGACTATCCCGAAGGTAGGCGTAGTGCCGGAAGGTGTGGTCCGAGAAGAGCGCCGGCATCGTTGGGCAGGATTTGGCAGCGTTGAAAATAAGAACCAAGACCGCGATATCTGGGCCGCAGGTTAAGGGAGGGAAAAGACTTCAGATCCTTGATTGTAAAGCAGTTAAAACAAGTCTTTTTTTTTTTTTTTTTAATTTGATTTATATGCCGCCCTTCTCCAGAGACTCAGGGCGGCTTACAATGCGTTAAGCAATAGCCTTCATACTTTTATATATTTTATACAAAGTCAGCTTATTGCCCCCACAAACTAGGTCCTCATTTTACCCACCTTAGAAAGGATGGAAGGCTGAGTCAACCTTGAGCCTGGTGAGAATTGAACTTGCAGTAATTGCAGGCAGCTGGATGTTAAATGCTGCCTTAGGAGGCATTACCCTCCTACGCCACTTTTAAGTGCCAAAGGGTGGGGGGAATATGGTTTGGCAACTGGAGGAACAAAGCTGGTGAGTTTAGGTAAAGGTAAAGGTTCTCCTTGCACATATGTGCTAGTCGTTCCTGACTCTAGGGGGCGGTGCTCATCTCCGTTTCAAAGCCAAAGAGCCAGTGCTGTCCGAAGACGTCTCCGTGGTCATGTGGCCGGCATGACTCAATGCCAAAGGCACACGGGACGCTGTTCCCTTCCCACCAAAGGTGGTCCCTATTTTTCTACTTGCATTTTTTACCTGCTTTCAAACTACTAGGTTGGCAGAAGCTGGGAAAAGTGACGGGAGCTCACCCCGTTACGCGGCACTAGGGATTCGAACCGCTGAACTGCTGACCTTTCAAAGATCAACAAGCTCAGCGTCTTAGCCACTGAGCCACCGCGTTCCTCCTCTGTCATGGCGAGTTTAGGGTAGCACAAAATCAGAAGTACAATAGGCAAGCCCTGGTGGCAAGAGTGGTTAGAATGCAGGATGGAAGGCTGACTCTGCCCACAGCCAGGAATTCGATCCTGACCGACTCAAGGTTGACTCAGCCTTCTGTCCTTCCGAGGTGGGTAAAATGAGGACCCAGATTGTTGGAGGCAAGAGGCTGATTCTGTAAACTGCTTAGAGAGGGCTGTAAAAGCACTGTGGAAGTAGTATATAAGCCAGTGATGGCTAACCTTTTTGCCGTCGCTTGCCAAAAGTGGGGGGACCATGGAGGGGGAGTGTTGTGTGTGTGTGTGTGCCCACACCCATAATTCAATGCACCCTGCCCCCCCGTGCATGCACGTCCAACTCCCCCCACTCCCCCCACTTTTGGCATGCGATGGCACGGTGGGCTCGTAGTCCCGTTTCTTGCCCTTCCCAGCCTCCAGAGGCTTTCTTGGAGCCTGGGGAGGGCGAAAACGGCCTTCCCCACCCCCTGAGGCCCTCCGGAAGCAGGAAACGGCCCGTTTCCCGACCTCCAGTGGGCCCAGAAGGCCTGGAAATCAGCTGGCTGGCATACCTGAGCTAGGGCAATGCTCATGTGCCCACCGATATGGCTCAGCGTGCCACCTGTGACACGCGTGCCATAGATTCGCCATCACAGATATAAGCCTACAGTAAGTGCTCTCGCTATTTCTTCCTTTTTTCCTTTCCCCTTCCCCCTCCCCTTCCTTTTCATTTCTCCTTCTCCTTCCTCTCCTACTTCGTCTTCCTTTTGTCTCCTCTCCCCGCTTCTCCCCTTAGCTTTCATGGCTAAGGTCAGAAGTGATATTCAGCCGGTTCAGACCTGTTCAAGCGAACCGGTAGCAGAAATCGCGGATGGACCCGCTAACCTGCCCCGTCTCTATGCTGTTCTATTTAGACACGTTTTTGACCCCAGGCACGTGCGCCGAAGTCGCGAGCTCACTTTTTCGATGCTGGGCAAACCGGTAAGTTAAATTATGTGAATCCCACCTAGAGATCACTGGAACTAGAACTTACTTTCTGTTGGCGATTGGCCCAAAGTCCCCCAGCCAGCTTTAATGGCTAAGGCAGAACTAGAATTCACAGTCTCCTGGTAATTGGCCCAAAGTCCTCTAGCTGGCTTTCAGGCTTAAAGGAGCAAGCAAATCCCCATTCGTCAACCAAATGGATGCTAGAATACAGCTGCAATTTTACTGATGGCTTCTCTTTTCACGATACCCCAGGAAACCACAACTGGCGGAAAAGGCGGCTTGCATGCGCATTGCAACTCAAACTTTCTGCCCCACCTACTGGCGGCTTGCAAGCCCACAAGCGGTTTTGTGCACTAAATCTGAATTCCTTTGGAGCAGGGGTGGTGGGCAACTGTGGCCCTTCTACAACCTGTGGACTTCAACTCCCAGAATTCCCGAGACAGCCAAGTTGTCTCGGGAATTCTGGGAGTTGAAGTCCACAGGTTGTAAAAGGGCCACAGTTGCCCACCAACCCTGCTTTGGAGCATTAACCCCCCCGAACAGGTATGTGTCAGGGGTGGGTTCTAATTTTTTTTACTACCGGTTCTGTGGGCGTGGCTTATTTTGTGGGTGTGGCTTGAAGGTCATGTGACTAGGTGGGCGTGGCTAGCTGGTCAGAGTCATTTCTGGAAGGTCCTCGCACTTACGACCAGTCCTCGCACTTACGACCTGACTCATTTGTTTGCTTTTAACACTGATCAGCTGTAGGGCGGCCCTTTGAAGCCCCTGGGCAAGAGTTTAAACAGTTTTTTTCCCCTCTAGTCCTCAGCTGGGACTCAGGAGGCAGCAATAGATTGGGGGTGGGACCAAATAAAAGGTAAGAATAACGTGGAGGGCGGGGGGGGGAGAACCGGTTCGGTGACGTCATATTGTCACCGCTACCGGCTCGGCCGAACCAGACCGAACCGGGAGGAACCCACCACTGGTATGTGGGGAGGAAAGGATACAAGCCGGATCATCCATGTCTGGTTCTGGGGTGTCGAAGAAAGGGTGGGTCCCCAACAATTCAGGGACGAGTGGGAGCACCAGAGTGGGGTGCCTGCCTCCCAGAAATTTTAAGCACCTGAAAAACAGAGAAGGATCACCTTTTAATTGTAACCAAACGGCAAACGTTATTTATTTATTTATTGTTAAAGGCGACAATAATTATTTATGAACAGTTAGAACACAGGTAGCCCTAACTTACAACCGGTTCCTTTAGTGATCGTTCAAAATTACGTCATTGAAGGAAGTGACTTATGACCAGTTTTTCACACTTGCGGCCGTTGCAGCATCCCCCACAGTCACATGATCAAAATCTGGACGCTTGGCAAGTGACTCATATTTTATGACGGTCTCAGGGATCCCCTTTTGCGACCTTCTGACGAGCGGAGTCAAGCGAGGAAGCCACATCCGTTTAACCACCAGGTTACTAACTTATCAACGGCAGTGATTCACTTAACAACTGTGGCAAGGAAAGGTCGTAAAATGGGGCAAAACTCACTCAAGAAATGTTTCGCTTCACAACAGAAAGGTTGCACTGTCCCGGGGTCACGTGGGACACAGGGGTGAAATATTACCGGTTCGGGCCAGTTCACCCCAACCTGTAGTAAAAAATTCTACTGGTTTGACTGAATAGGTAGTAAAATAAATGCTTTAAAAAAGTTAAAAAAAAGGTTCCAACAATCAGCTGTGCCGCCCGATCATCGGAACCTTTTTTTTTTTTTTTTACTTTTTTAAAGCATTTTTTTTACTACCTATTCGCCTGAACCGGTAGTAAAAGAAATGCTTTAAAAAAGTAAATAGAACTCAAGATAATTTAGATAAAGATGTAAGTTTAAGATAGAGATATTTAGAAGTAGAATTTGTGTAAAGAGGTTAAATAGGCTAGAGATACCGATGCAGAAAAGTTATTAGTATTGAAATTTTGATATTTTATTTATATTATATAAATAAATAAATAAATATTTAGAATAGTTTGTATTATATTATATATATATATATATATATATAATTTATTTGATATTTTATTTAGATATTTGATATTGTTTTTGGTTGTTTATATTTTTTGCTTTTGTGTGTGTGTGTGTGTGTGTTTTTTTCTTGCTTTTTCATTATGTTTCTTTTTGTACTGTGTATTTTAATCTTTGGAAATTTAATAAATATTATTTTTTTTTAAAAAAAAGTAAAAAAAAAGTTGGCCACGCCCACCTAGTCACATTATCCCCTCCCCCTACCAAGTCACGCCCACAGAACCAGTAGTAACGAATTTTCCATTTCACCACTGTATTCCTGGCTGGAGAGTAAACATAAAATTTAAGGGATGTTTTTGTTATGAGATCAAATTGTAAACAGAAATCAAGATAACTTAAATAAAGATGTAAGTTTAAGATAAGAGATATTTAGAAGTAGGATTTGTGTAAAGAGGTTAAATAGGCTAGAGATACCGGTGCAGAAAAGTTGTTATGAGTATTGAAATTTTGATAAGTTTGTTTTTGGTTGTTTATATTTTTTGTTTGTGTGTGTTTGTGTGTGTGTGTTTTTGCTTTTTTGTGTATTATGTTTCTTTTTTGTACTGTGTATTTTAATTTGGAAATTTAATAAATATTATTTTTTTTAAAAAAAAGTAAAAAAAAAGTTGGCCACGCCCACCCAGTTCACATGACCCCACACCACCAAGCCACGCCCACCAAGCCACGCCCCCAGAACCGGCAGGGACATTTTTTAATTTCACCAGTTTTGGCGACCTTCCCAGGAGACGTCTGGCAAGCAAAGTCAACGCGAAGGCCGGACTCGCTTAATGCCTGAATGAAGCTGCAGTGATTCCCACACAGCTCTGGAAAGGAAGCTCACCAAGGGGGCAAAACTCACGTTTAACAACTGTCCCACTTCCCAAGGGGAAACGTTGGTCTCCCTTGCAGTTATAAGTCAAGGGCTCCCTGTATTCTTAATTTTTTGGGCGACAAAGAAAAGACTTACTTCCAGATAGAGTCCCTGTCCGTCGGGTACTTGGCGAGGTTTTTCAGCAGCTCCGCCAAGGCAAGATGGATGCCTTCCTTGGTCGAGACGTTGGTACAGCACAGAAGCTCGTGCAGGGCTTCCCTGATATCTCGGGAGGAGTCCTAGAGCAACAGACGGAAAGGCTGGGATGGCAAAGCGTTTTATAATCAAGCATCCACATTAAAGGAAGGAGCGGACACGAAATAGGCCGCAGACTAGCACATAGTAGAGCGGATGTGAAGGCCTTGGATTGCAAAAATCATACCCCCGTTTCCCCGAAAATAGAACCTAACTGGAAAATAAAGCCTAGCATGATTTTTCAGGATGCTTGTAATATAAACCCTACCCCCCCAAAATAAGCCCCTGTTAAGATCATCAGCCAGATGGATGCATTTACTACCGTATTTGGGTAGTAAATACGTATTTGCGGGTCTGGATGGGGAGAAACAGGCTCCGGCTCAACCCCTCCAAGACTGAGTGGCTGTGGATCCCGGCGTCCTCTGATCTAGTTACCCCATCACTTAGGATGGGAGGGGAGTTGTTGACTCCCTCTGAAAGGGCCCGCAATCTTGGCATCCTCCTTGATTCGTGGCTATCTTTGGCGGATCATCTGACGGCTGTGACAAGGGGGGCTTTTGCACAGGTCCACCTAGTGCGCCAGTTGCAGCTTTTCCTAAACAGAGACGCCCTGCGCACAGTCACTCAAGCTCTCATTGTCTCTCAATTGGACTACTGCAATGCCCTCTACATGGGACTGCCCTAGGGGTCCACCTGGAGGCTACAGCTAGTCCAGAATGCGGCTGCGCAGGTTGTTACGGGAGCTTCCCGCTACTCCCGGGCAACACCTCTCCTGCACGAGCTGCACTGGCTACTGGTGTAGCAGCCGGCGCTCACATCGGACAGCGAGGAGGCTGAAGAAGATGTGGTGCCAGAGGAAGAGACTCAGCCAGGGCCTTCAGAACCTCCAGAGGCTCCTTCAAGTGGAGAGAGCGAAGTGGAGGAGCCTCTCCTCAATGCTCGAGCACGCAGGGCTGCCAAAAGGCAGGAGTGGCTACTCAGGAGGAGGAGGTCTCCTCAAGAGTAAGGCTTGAGGATATTTGGCCACTCCCTTAGCCTATTTAAGTCGCACGCAGTTAGTAATTTCTTGCTGGAAACAACCTGTAATTATTACAGAGCATTTTTGAAGAGTGAGAGTCTTATCGTATCTTGTTTTCTGGGCTGGTTGCCAACCTTTGCCGGACTTTGTTTATTCTTGGTACGTTATAACTTTGATAAGGACCGTTGGTGTGGGTCACAATCCTTGGGAATCCAGAGCTGGAGCAGAACAAGGGGAGAGGGAAAGAGAGGATGGGGAAGAGAGAGGAGGAGAGGGGAGGAAGGGAGGGGAAAGTGAAGAGAGGAGGACAGGGGGAGAGGAGGGCTGGGGAGGAGAGGGGAGAGGGGAAGAGAGGAAGGGGAAGGGAGAGGAGAGAAGGAGGAGGGGAGGGAGGAGAAAGAGAAGAGAGGGGAGGGGAAGGGAGGGAGGGGAAGGGAGGAGGGGAGGGGAGAGAGGGAGGGAGGGGAAAGAGAAGAGAGGGGAGGGGAAGGGAGGGAGGAGAAGGGAGGAGGAGAGGAAAGGGAGGGAAAAGGGAAGAGAGAAGAGAGGGCAGGGGGAGGGCTGGGGAGGGGAGAGGAAGGGAGGGGAGGAAGGGGAAAGAGAGGAGAGGGCAGGGGGAGGGCTGGGGAGGATGCAGAAGTTGACTCTTGGTTCACGGGGACCCAACCAAATGAAAATGAGAACATTTATCCGTTCACGATCAAAGCCATGTCCCTGGTGAAATCAAAGGCAGAACAAATGGAAGAAGAATGGAAGGGGGGAAAGTGGAGGTGGGGGGAAGACCCTTGCCTCCAAGACGCCCAGCACCGTGTCCAGCTGATCCTCCCGCAGAGCGATGTTGTTGGAAATCTTCCTCATGGTGTGGATCGACCGCAGCCTCACTTCCTCGATCTCGTCGTTAAACATGTCGACCAGGAAATCGAGGCACTTCTCGGCAAAAGAGGGCGAAGACTGGGCCAGCATGCAGAGGGCTTCCACGGCCGCAATCCGGACCTCTGAAAAACAGATCCAGGCTGTGTGAGAGATGGGAGAAAAAAAAAAAAAAAGGAAACGCCAGAATCCTCTCTTCTGAGAGACCGTAAGCTGAGCTGCCCTGCTCTTGTCTTTTCAAATTTCTTGGCGTCTTGGATTTGGAAAAGCAAGCTACGTTTTCTGAAACGGCTTCTCCCCGTCTCAAAATTGGCAGCTTAAAACAACCATTTATTTCAGGACCACTCAAAGTTACGACGCCATTGGGGGGGGGGAAGTGACTTTGGCAGGGGTGGGATTCCAAAATTTTAGCAAGGGGTTCTCTGCCTGGTTGCTGGGTGGGGGTGGCCATGGTGGGCGTGGCCTACTTGGCCTCCTGCACCACAGCAGGGGAAGGGACATTTTTGCCCTCCCCAGGCTCCGGAGGCTTTTCTCAAGCCTCCAGGAGGGCAAAAACAGCCTCCCTGGACTCCGGAGGCCCTCTGGAGGCCAGAAACGAACTTCCGGTAGGCCCATTTTTCGCCCTCCCCGAGCCTCCATGCGCGCCCTGCACTTACCTGCATCCAAAATGGGCCGCGTGGGTACTCCTGGGAGGGGTGGGATGGGCAGGGCCAGCCAGGAGTGGGATTTGGGGGTTCTCCGAACTGCACAGAATCTTAGCTAGAGGTTCTCCCGAACCCCTGCGAACCCCCAGCAGCCCACCCCTGGTTAGGATTCCGTTCTAAGACTTCGGAGGCCCTCTGGAGGCCGGAAACAAGCCCATTTCCAGACTTCCGGAACTTCCGGGAGACCCGTTTTTCGCCCTCCCAGAGCCTCCATGTGGGCCCTGCACTTTCCTGGCATCCAAAACGGGCCACTTGGAGACTCCTGGGAGGGGAGGGACGGGGTGAGCAGGATCAGCTAGACCTTGCAACTACCAGCGAACCAGATGTAAAATTAGCATCCGATTCACCCAAACCGGTCCGAACCGGCTAAATCCCATCCCTGGACTTGTGACCATTTTTCACAACTATGACCTGTCAACCCTGAAGCTAACATGACTGAAGCCATCTTGGGAACTTCAGTGTTGCCACACTGGAGCTGAGGGATAGTGAGGGGGGGGTTGAGATAGTCGTCAAGGTTCCAAGCAATACATCCCCAACAATTAGAACCCTGAGGAAGGCATATTCCTCAAAGGACATTTTATTGAAGGTAAAGGTAAAGTTCCCCTCACACATATGTGCTAGTGGTTCCTGACTCTAGGGGGCAGTGCTCATCTCCGTTTCAAAGCCGAAGAGGCAGCGCTGTCCGAAGACGTCTCCGTGGTCATGTGGCCGGCATGACTCAACGGCAAAGGCGCACGGAACAGTGTTTCCTTCCCACCAAAGGCAGTCCCTATTTTTCTACTTGCATTTTTTACCTGCTTTCGAACTGCTAGGTTGGCAGAAGCTGGGACAAGCAACGGGAGCTCACCCCATTATGCGGCACTGGGGATTCAAACCGCTGAACTGCCGACCTTTCGATCGACAATCTCAGCGTCTTAGCCACTGAGCGTCCCCAACATTTTATTGGGACGTATCAAATTGGTACAGATTGGTGGAAAATCGGCTCTAACTTCCCGCCGGTTTTATGCCCAACTAAAAGTAAAGCTTTTGTCATTTTCCCCCCACAAAGTCACTGGTCACATGGTCCAATCAGAATGTAGTCAGCGGGGAATCCAGATTCGCTTAACAACCAGGTGATTAACATAACAACTGTGGTGATTCCCTTAACAACTGTTGGCAGAAAGGTCGTAAAATGGGGTAAAAGTCACTTTACAACGGTCGTACTTAGCAACCGGAAGTTGAGGCTTAATTGTGGTCGTAAGGCGAGGACTACCGGTATTAAATGGCCAGCCTTTCTGCAATTTTGGACTTGGTTACGCAGGGGGCTGTTTGGGTTTTTGAATAATGCACCAGCGCGCTGAAATACGGCTTAAAAATCGAATGAAGAGGCAGAGAACCGAAGCAACCATTCCTGGGAGGTGAGGACCGCTCCCCGAAAAAGATCCAAGGGGTCTCCTCCACTCACCGTACATCTCGTCTTCCAGGCCGTGGACAAAAGCTCCACAGGCTCCCGATTCAATGAGGTTCACGGCTCCCGTGTCTATTTCTTCTTTCGGGGCGTCGTCCCCCCATTTCCTGCCACTAGAGAACTCCCCGGAACTGTACAGCTCTTTAGCCCGTTCGTGGGCGGTGCGTTTGCGCTGTAGAGACCAAATAGTCAAGGGAAGTCAGGCATTTTAATACCATTTCCTGGAAAATAAGCCCTAGCCTGAAAATAAGCCCTAGCATGTTTTTTTTTACAGGTATGCCTAATATAAGCCCTACTCCGCAAAATAAGCCCACTTAAGAGCCTGCGCAGCTGGCTGCCTATCTCGTTGCTTGTGGTGCCACAGCAACGAGGCGAGGCAGGAGGGTGCTGGAGCTGCCCGAGGCACCCTGCAACAGCTTCCCTCAGGGCCACCACAGCCAGGCCAGTAGAGCAGGGGTAGGGTAGGGTGGAGTGGAGTGGAGTGGAGAGTGAGAGCAGGGGGAGAGCAGGGAGAGAGAAGAGGAGAAGAGAGGAGAGGAGAGGAGAGGAGAGGAGAGGAGAGGAGAGGTACAGTAGAATAGTGTAGAGGTAGAGGAGGGATAAGCAGAGCAGAGCAAAGTAGAATACAATAGAGTAGGGATAGAGCAGGAATAGAGTAGAGTAGAGTAGAGTACAGTAGAGTAGAGTGTAGAGTAGAGTAGAGAAGAGAGATAGCAGGGGGAGAGTAGAGTAGAATGTAGTGTAGAGTAGAGTGAGAGCAGGGGTAGAGTAGAGTAGAGTAGGGGTAGAGTAGAGTTGAGGTAGAGCAAGGGGAAGCAGAGCAGAGCAAAGTAGAGTACAATAGAGCAGGGATAGAGTAGAGTAGAGTGAGAGCAGGAGGAGAGTAGAGTAGAGTAGGGGTAGAGTAGAATAGAGTAGAGTAGAGGTAGAGCAGGGGGAAGCAGAGCAGAGCAAAGTAGAGTACAATAGAGCAGGGATAGAGTAGAGAAGAGTGAGAGCAGGAGGAGAGTAGAGTAGAGTGTAGTGTAGAGTAGAGTAGAGTGAGAGCAGGGGGAGGGTAGAGTAGAGTAGGGATAGAGTAGAATAGAGTAGAGTAGACGTAGAGCAGGGGGAAGCAGAGTAGAGCAAAGTATAGTACAATAGAGCAGGGATAGAGTAGAGTAGAGTAGAGTAGAGTAGAGTAGAGTAGAGTAGAGTAGAGTAGAGTAGAGTAGAGTACAGTACAGTACAGTACAGTACAGTAGATTGAGAGCAGGGGGAAGAGTACAGGAGAGGTTGAGTAGGGGTAGAGTACGGTAATAAAACTAAAACCAAAAAGCATTCAAAAGAATCAATCGTGCAACCTCCAGCCTCCCAGGGTTTGGATATACAGATATAAACTCCCAGCACAAAACAAAAGAGAATACTGTACCCTCAAATCTGACATCAGCTTCTTGTCCAAGGTCTGTTCTAAAAAATGAGAACTAACTTGCTGCATAGACCCCTGGAAAACAGGTGGGGAAAACCATTTATCAGAATGACATTTTAATCCCAAGCCCAATCAAAGCTAAAACAATTATTTAAGTCCGGGTCTGATACGTGGGTAGAGTTCGTCAAGTCATTTTGAACAGAATGAGGTGAAAATCATAAGAAATCTGTGCTTTAAAAAAGACGTCTCCAGATTTGGCAACTTTCAGATTTATGGACTTCAACTCCCAGAATCCCTGGGGGAATTCCTGGAGAATTCTGGGAGACGAAGTTCTGTTCTATGAGGTTTTAGGTTAAGTCTTAAAATTGCCAAGTTTAGAGAGCCCTCTGCTAACCCTCTCTCTTATTTCAGATATTCAAAAAGTGGTCAAAAAGATTCTAAAACCACAGAAGAGCCACAAAGGTGATAAGGGGACTGAAGCAGGGGTGAAATGCTCCCGGTTCGGACCAGATCACCAGATCCAGTAGCGATGGCGGTGGGTGGTTCGGAGAACCGGTAGCAAAAATCCCTGCGTCCCCCCATGCCCAGCTGAGCCGCGCGATCATCAGAGGCTTTTTTTTTTTTTACTTTTAAAAGCATTTTTTCTACAACCTCTTCCACCGGAGATTTTAGAAAAAATGCTTTTAAAAGAAAAAAAAAAAAGCCTCTGATGATCGCGCGGCTCAGCTGGGATCATCAGAGCCTTTTAAAAGAATTTTTTCTACAACCTCTTCGCCCTAAGAGGTTTATTTATTTATTTATTTATTGGTTTGATTTATTTGTCGCCCTTCTCCGGAGACTCAGGGCGGCTTATAATGCATTAAGCAATAGCCTTCATACTTTTTTTGTATATACCTGCTTAGTAGGGCTTTTGCCCCCCCCCCCAAGCGGTGTTCTTTTTTATACAAAGTCAGCTTATTGCCCCCACAATCCGGGTCCTCATTTCACCTACCTCGGAAGAATGGAAGGCTGAGTCAACCTTGAGCCTGGTGAGATTCGAACTCACAGTAATTGCAAGCAGCAGATGTTAATAACACTGCTTTAGTCTGCTGCGCCACCAAGGCTCTTAGAAAAGGTTGTAGAAAAAATGCTTTTAAAAGTTAAAAAACAAAAAGTTGGCCACGCCCACCCAGTCACATTACCCCCACCACCACCACCACCAAGCCATGCCCACAGAACCGGTAGTAACAAATGTTAAATTTCACCACTGGACTGGAGGTGAAAACATATGAAGAACGGTTGCAGGAACTGTGTATGTCTAGTTTAATGAAGAGAAGGACTAGGGGAGACATAATAGCAGTCTTCCAATATCTGAGGGGCTGCCCCAAAGAAGAGGGAGTCAAGCTATTCTCCAAAGCACCTCAGGGCAGGACAAGAAGCAATGGGTGGAAACTAATCAAGGAGAGAAGCAGCTTAGAACTAAGGAGAAATTTCCTGACAGGGAGAACAATTATAATCAGTGGAACAACTTGCCACCAGAAGTTGTGAATGCTCCAACACTGGAAGTTTTTAAGAAGATGTTGGATACCCATTTGTCTGAAGTGGTGCAGGGTTTCCTGCCTGAGTAGGGGGTTGGACTAGAAGATCTCTAAGCTCCCTTCCAATTCTGTTATTCTGTTTTGTTATTATGATCAAATCAGGATGTTGCTGTATGCCAAACACCCGTTTTCCTCCCATATAAATGAAAGAGACTCAACGATGGAACTTATTTTTTTCACTTCCTCCCTGGCTTCCCTCCACCCCTTTGAGCTTCAGGGTGAGGCTTTCGGAAGCTCAGCACAAAGGCAGATCGACCATAAAGGGAGAGAACAATTAAGCATCTTGGATTTCATGGACCAGCTGGCAGACCAGGGATGATTACCATGGCAACAGAGAAAGAAGGAGGAGAAATCCTTCTTACCAATAGCTTAGCAGCCTGGACTCTCACAACCCAAGAGCCGTCGCTGACCATGTGACAGATCTTCCCGAAAGCATCGTCCACCAGCCGGATTTCTTCGTTGGAAGATGGGATGGGGACAATGCTAGAGAGAGAGAGAAAGAGAGAGAGAGAGAGAGAGAAAGGGAGGGAGGGAGAGGGAGGGAGGGAGGGAGAGTGGAGGAGGGAGGGAGGGAGACAGAAAGGGAGGGAGGGAGGGACAGAAAGGGAGGGAGGGACAGAAAGGGAGGGAGGGGGAGGGAGGGAGGAAGAAAGAGGGAGGGAGGGAGAGAGGGAGGGAGGGAGAGAGGGAGGGGGAGGGAGGAAGGAAGAGGGAGGGAGGGACAGAGAGAGAGGGAGGGTGGGAGGGAAGGGGAGGGAGGGAGGGAGGGAGAAGAAGCGAGAGAAAGGGAGGGAGAGAAAGGGAGGGAGGGGAAGGGAGGAAGGAAGAGGGAGGGAGGCAGAAAGGGAGGGAGGGAGAGAGGGAGGGAGGGGGAGGGAGGAAGGAAGAGGGAGGGAGGGGGAGAGAGGGAGGGTGGGAGGGAGGGAGAGAGAGGAAGCGAGAGAAAGGGAGGGAGGGAAAGGTAGGGAAGGGGAGGAAGAAAGAGGGAGGGAGGGGGACAGAAAGGGAGGGAGGGAGAGAGGGAGGGAGAGAAAGGGAGTGAGGGGGGAGGAAGGAAGAGCGAGGGAGGGAGAGAGAGAGAGAGGGAGGGTGGAAGAGAGGGGGAGGGAGGGAGGAAGCGAGAGAAAGGGAGAGAGGGAGGGAGAGGGAGGGAGGGAGAAAGGGAAGGAGGGAAAGAGAGAGGGAGGGAGAAAGGGAGAGGGAAAGAAAGAGAGAGGGAGGGAGAAAGGGAGGGAAAGAGAGAGGGAGGGAGAAAGGGAGAGAGAGAAAGGGAGGGAGGGGGAGGGAGGAAGGAAGAGGGAGGGAGGGGGAGAGAGAGAGGGAGGGTGGAAGGGAGGGGGAGGGAGGGAGGGAGGAAGCGAGAGAAAGGGAGAGAGGGAGGGAGAGGGAGGGAGGGAGAAAGGGAAGGAGGGAAAGAGAGAGGGAGGGAGAAAGGGAGGGAAAGAGAGAGGGAGGGAGAGAGAGAGAGATGATATTACAGATAATCCTGAATTTACAACAGTTCGTTTAGTAACTGTTCAAAGTTACAACGGCCCTGAAAAAAGTGACTTATGACTGTTTTTCACACTTATGACCATCGCAGCATTCCCATGGTCACGTGATCAAAATTCAGATGTTTGGCAACTGGTTCATATTTATGACCATTGCTGTGTCCCTGGGGTCACGCGATCACTTTTTGCGACCTTCTGACAAGCAAAGTCCATGAGGAAAGCCGGATTCACTTAACAACTGGGTGACTAGCTTATCAACTGCAGTGTTCCGCTTAACGACTGTGGCAAGAAAGGTCGTAAAACGGGGAAAAACTCACTTAGCAGATGTCTCGTTTAGCAGCAGCAATTCTGGGCTCAATTGTGGCCGCAGGTCTAGGAGCTACCTGTACAGATAGTCCTCAACGTATGACCCAATGGAGCCCAAACTTTTATGTTGCAAAGTGAGAAATTTGTTACGTGGGTTTTGCCTCATTTTCCCACTTTTATTGCCGCCTTTGTTAAGTGAATCACTGCTGTTAAATCAGTTAAATCTTAACTGTTAAATCAGTTAAGGTTAAAACGAACCTGATTTCCCCACTGACTTTGCTTCTCTGAAGGTCGTAAAAGGGGATCACCTGACCCTGGGACAGTGCGACCGTCATAAATATGAATCAATTCCCAAGCGTCTGAATGTAAATCAGGTTTTCCAGTGCTGTTGTAAGTAGGAAAAGTCACTAAGTGAACTGTTGTAAATTGAGGACTATCTATGTTTTTTTTTTTTTTAAATTTGATTTATATGCCGCCCTTCTCCGGAGACTCAGGGCGGCTTACAATGTGCTCAGCAATAGCCTTCATCCTTTTTATATATTTATACAAAGTCAGCTTATTGCCCCCACAAACTGGGTCCTCATTTTACCTACCTTAGAAAGGATGGAAGGCTGAGTCAACCTTGACCTGGTGAGATTCGAACCTGCAGTAATTGCAGGCAGCTGATGTTAATAACTGTTAATAACAGTGCTTTAGTCTGCCGCGCCACCAGGCTCTCTTAACAACCAGCCCCAAAAAGGTTATAAAACTGGATAACACCCCTTTATTAGTGTTAGCATTATTAGGCTCCATTAGGGTCATAAACTGAGGACTATCTGTATATCAGCAACTTTAAGATGTCTGTCTATGGAGATTCTCAGCCCATCCAGGTTCATGGTTGTCTCAAAGGTGCTTTTTTTTTTTTCAAGAGGCAACTGGACTTTCTGGTTTTTCTTTGAAGGCGTTTCTCTTCTCATCCGAGAAGCTTCTTCAACTCTGACTGGATGGTGGAGAAATGGAAGGATTGATACTCCTTGCAGACAGCTGGTCATTTGCATCCTTTTAGAAAGTCATTGAGGCCACTTGGAGGTTTGTCTATGTCCTCAGGGTCACCTGAGTGGTGCAGATGGGTGTGGAGCCTTCTTCGAACTGCTGAAAGGACTCCCAAAGTTTCAAGATAATCCTATTCCACTGCTGGAATGGGATGAGAATAGCCAAATTGAAAATCTATGTAGCCGACTAAAGAAACTTGTAGGTCCTAAGCTACCCAGCAATAAAACCCAGTTAGTAGAAGCCATCATTCAATCTTGGTTTCACATTATTAGAACAGCTGCAGAACTAAAAGACTTGATTCACTCCATGGGAAGACGTTGTAAGGCTGTCATTCGTGCTAAAGATTACCCAACTAAGTATTAACTGACATGGTAGTAATTTTTGTATATCTCATTTTTTCTACGTGTTTCACTTTTCTTCTTTATACTGTAACTGCTATTCTAGTAGCAAATCCTTCATCAAAGTCATTGCATTACATTCTTGATTCAATTATCTTTCCATTGATATATAATTTTATGGTACTACTCCCAAAAAAAGCGGTGTTATTAGCTAGTTTTAGAAAATACACTTTTCCCAAAAGGTTTCCACACTTTTGGCCACTAGTATATATCTTGTACGTACCTTTCTGTGTAAAGCTGGCTAAGGACCCAAGTGAGTTGCACCGCGACGCTCCGGACCTGTTCGTAATCATCCATTAAGAGTTTGCAAGCCTGCAACGGAAGATTCCCAGGAGATTATTACTGGCCAACAATTTCACCATTTACAGGTAGTCCTCGACTTACAACAGTTTGTTTGGGGACCGTTCAAAGTTACGACGTCGCTGAAAATAGTGACTTAGGGCCATTTTTCACACTTACAACCGTTGCAGCATTCCCCCACGCTCGCGGGATTGACACTCAACTCATATTTATGACGGTGGCAGTGTCCAGGGGTCATGTGATCGCCTTGTGCAACCTTCTGACGAGCAAGGTCAATGGGAAACCAGATTTTTGTTATTTATTTATTATTTTATTATTTATTTATTAATTTTATTTCTATACCACCCTTCTCCCGAAGGACTCAGGGCGGTGTACAGCCTAATTAAAACACAAAAACTGACGAATTTAAAAATAATTAAAATCATTAAATAATAGGCCCAATTTATAAAACCCCGAATTTAAAATCCCATTTAAAACCAATTAAAATCTTTATATTGATAGCCCAGCCTGGCGGAACAACATGGTTTTGAGGGATTCACTTAACAACCGTGTTACAAGTTGTCCTCGACTTACAACTCCATCTTATATTAGATATTAATTTTAGAGTGTTTTCCACAATGAAATACATCCCACCCAAGAAAATTGTTATTTAAAAAATCCAACAGCCTGGAAGTTAAGGTAAAAGTAAAGGTTCCCCTCGCACATATGTGCTAGTCGTTCCCGACTCTAGGGGGCGGTGCTCATCTCCGTTTCAAAGCCGAAGAGCCAGCACTGTCCGAAGACGTCTCCGTGGTCATGTGGCCGGCATGACTAAACGCCAAAGGTGCACGGAACGCTGTTCCCTTCCCACCAAAGGTGGTCCCTATTTTTCTACTTGCATTTTTTTTTACCTGCTTTCGAACTGCTAGGTTGGCAGAAGCTGGGACAAGGAACGGGAGCTCACCCCATTACGCAGCACTAGGGACTCGAACCGCTGAACTGCCGACCTTTCTGATCGACAAGCTCAGCGTCTTAGCCACTGAACAACTGCCTCGAAACCCCAGCTTAAAAAAAAAAAATATTGGGTATTTATTTGGAGTTTTTAAAAGCGTGTGAAGAAAAGACTTGACACATGCAAAGGAAAGGCTATGGAGGAAATTTGGACCTGCTCCCTCCCTACACAAGTCTTTTTTTTTGTTCATGTGTCTTGGCTGCAACCAAGTGTAAAAGGGTTCAATTGATGACCAGAGAAGGCAGGCAGGCTGGTACAAGCAGAGGAGCATTGAGCTTGAATTCATGTTAGAGCCGAGGTGGCGCAGTGGTTAAAGTGCCGTACTGCAGGCTACTTCAGCTGACTGCTAGCTGCAGTTCGGCAGTTCAAATCTCCCCAGGCTCAAGGTTGACTCAGCCTTCCGTCCTTCCGAGGTGGGTAAAACAAGGACCCAGATTGTTGGGGGCAATATGCTGACTCCGTAAACCGCTTAGAGAGGGCTGTAAAAGCACTGTGAAGCGGTATATAAGTCTAAGGGCTATTGCTATGTTACTTAAACATCTAATCCTCAGAAGCAGCATATCTGTCCAAAAGCTGCGACTTTTGAGCATTCTTCTTTTATTTATTTGATTTGTATCCTTCCTTTATTCTTTTTATAAATAACTCAAGGCGGGGAACATTCCTTCCTCCTTGTATTTTCCCAGCAACAATAACCCTGTTAGGTGGATTGAACTGAGAGAGGGACTGGTCTGAACTCCCCCAACTGGTATTCATGGCTAAGGTGGGACTAGAACTCACAGTCTCCTGGTGACTGGCCCAAAGTCATCCAGCTGGCTTTCATGTCTAAAGTGGGATTAGAACTCACAGTCTCCTGGTGATTGGCCCAAAGTCATCCAGCTGGCTTTCATGCCTAAAGTGGGACTAGAACTCACAGTCTCCTGGTGATTGGCCCAAAGTCACCCAGCTGGCTTTCATGCCTAAAGTGGGACTAGAACTCACAGTCTCCTGGTGATTGGCCCAAAGTCACCCAGCTGGCTTTCATGCCTAAAGTGGGACTAGAACTCACAGTCTCCTGGTGATTGGCTCAAAGTCACCCAGCTGACTTTCGTGCCTAAAGTGGGATTAGAACTCACAGTCTCCTGGTGATTGGCCCAAAGTCAGCCAGCTGGCTTTCATGCCTAAAGTGGGACTAGAACTCACAGTCTCCTGGTGATTGGCTCAAAGTCACCCAGCTGACTTTCATGCCTAAGGTGGGACTAGAACTCACAGTCTCCTGGTGATTGGCTCAAAGTCACCCAGCTGACTTTCGTGCCTAAGGTGGGACTAGAACTCACAGTCTCCTGGTGATTGGCCCAAAGTTACCCAGCTGGCTTTCGTGCCTAAAGTGGGACTAGAACTCACAGTACCCTGGTGATTGGCTCAAAGTCACCTAGCTGACTTTCGTGCCTAAGGTGGGACTAGAACTCACAGTCTCCTGGTGATTGGCTCAAAGTCATCCAGCTGACTTTCGTGCCTAAAGTGGGACTAGAACTCACAGTCTCCTGGTGATTGGCCCAAAGTCACCCAGCTGGCTTTCATGCCTAAAGTGGGACTAGAACTCACAGTCTCCTGGTGATTGGCTCAAAGTCACCCAGCTGACTTTCGTGCCTAAGGTGGGACTAGAACTCACAGTCTCCTGGTGATTGGCCCAAAGTCACCCAGCTGGCTTTCATGCCTAAAGTGGGACTAGAACTCACAGTCTCCTGGTGATTGGCTCAAAGTCACCCAGCTGACTTTCGTGCTTAAGGTGGGACTAGAACTCACAGTCACCTGGTGACTGGCCCAAAGTCACCCAGTTGGCTTTCATAGCTAAAGTGGGACTAGAACTCAGTCTCCTGGTGACTGGCCCAAAGTTACCCAGCTGACTTTCGTGCCTAAGGTGGGACTAGAACTCACCGTCTCCTGCTTTCTAATGTGGTGCCTTAAGCACTAGACCAAAACCTATCAAAGCAGATTCCCTCAATATTTCTCTTGCATTCATCAAATATTAGAACCCTTTGCTAAATTGATATAAGACATCATCATTACCTGGTTATAAATGGCTTGCTGCAACTTTAATCCCCTTTCGTGGAGCTGCAACTATAGGAGAAAAAAAAATTACACCAGATTGTTATTATAGCAATTCAGAAAATTTAGGCTTTTGCAAAATAAGATGAAAACGTGACAGGAATTTGACTATATTTCCACATCATTCATTTTAAATCTTCATTCTTCTCATGGAGACCTACCATAGCTTTGATAGCTGCAGTCCTCACTCGTGGATCCTGGTCGCTGAAGTGATCCCCGATGATCTTCTGCACATCTTTGGGAGACTGGCGTTCCACTTCCTTCGAGCTGTCACCTTTCTCCACTGTCCCCAGGCAGCCAATCAGGAGCAGGCATTTGTTCCTTACACCGTGCGAGGAATCCGTCAGATGCTGCGGATAAACAGTCTTTCAGAGCAAGGTTATCAACGCCCACCTATCTCCTGTGGAACTCTGCCAAAGAGCTAATTTCTGGACGCAGGGCAAGGCCAAACTTGGCACAGAGTCACAAACAGAATTTTCACATCTTGAATCGGCCAGATGTACTAATTGCTTCCTGCAAAAGCTCACGTCCCATTTGCTTCTCTTTTATGCCTTATGGGAGGGGCCAATCATCTCCAAGCCTTACTCCCAAGTCGACCCTGTTTCCTTAATTGTTCCTGTCTCCTGGCAGCTCTGTGCATGCGCACACTGGGAACAGGCTCACACTGTTCTTCTGCCTCGCTGATGTCAGACTCCGGAGACTCCAGAGGTAGCAAAGAACTACCAGATGGCCTTGGGTCCGTCTCAGCCACCGACACAGAGCCCTCGTTCGAGCTTTCCCCAGACTCCAGGACTGGCCCAGGTTCCTCTCCAATGCTCTCACTGTCCGAATCTGCTTCCAGCTCTGCTGGCGGGCCACAACAGTGCAATACTGCAGGCTACTTCTGCTGCCTGCCGGCTGCCTGCAGTTTGGCAGTTCGAATCTCACCAGGCTCAAGGTTGACTCAGCCTTCCATCCTTCTGAGGTTGGTAAAATGAGGACCCAGATTGTTGGGGGCCATAGGCTGACTCTGTGAAACTGCTTAGAGAGGGCTGTAAAAGCACTGTGAAGCGGTATATAAGTCTAAGTGCTATGTCTGTCTGTCTGTCTAACTATCTATCTAATCAAGAGCTGTGGTGGCGCAGTGGTTAGAATGCAGTATTGCAAGCTAACTCTGCCGACTGCCACCAGTTCAATCCTAAACAGCTCAAGGTTGACTCAGCCTTCCATCCTTCCAAGGTGGGTAAAATGAGGTCCCGGATTGTTGGAGGGAATATGCTGACTCTGTAAACCATTTAGAGAGGGCTGTAAAGCTATTGCTATTGCTATTATCTTTGAATTTTCCATGGTGTCGGGAAGAAATATGGAAAGACACTGATCTGTATCAGAGCTCTCCAACCTTGGCAATTTTAAGCCTTGTGGACTTCAACTCCCAGAATTCCCCAGCCAGCATCATCAGCTAAGGAATTCTGGGAGTTGAGGTCCACAGGTCTTATAAAATTGCCAATGTTGAATATTCCTGATCTATGCAATTAAATCACTTAAAGAACCCGAGTTCATTCACTGGCTGACCGTTTTTAATTACCTTGCAAGCCACGTCTACGAGATGTCCCCGCACTGAAGGGTTCTCTTGAAGCTTCTTCCCAATCACCAGCAAGGTATCCAAAAGCTGAGCCAGAACTTGGTGGGATTCTGGAAAACAAACCAAAATCCACTTCTATTCACAATGCAACAACCATGTTGTAGAAAAAGGGCAAGCTCCTATATAAAATGGGAGCAAACTCCACGCAGACTTAGCACTGAGGTTACCTACAGTAGTGGCCAAAATTGTGGAAACCTTGTGGGAAAAGTGTATTTTTGAGGTTTGATGGCTAATAACACCACTTTTTGGGGGGAGTTTCAAGATCATCCCCTATTCCACTGCTGGGAATAGCCCAGACCTTAACCCAATGGAAAATCTATGGAGCCGACTAAAGAAACTTGTCAGTCAGAAGCGACCCAGCAATAAAACTCAGTTAATAGAAGCCATCATTCAATCTCAGTTTCACATTAGAACAGCTGCAGAACTGAAAGACTTGGTTCGCTCCATGGGAAGACGTTGTAAGGCCGGAATTCGTGCTAAAGGTTACCCAGCTAAGTGTTCTGTCCCCGTCTCACACACGCACACAAACAGTCAGCCAGGAGTTAATAAAACCAGCAGTCAGGAATTCCTTTGAGATAACAGCATTGGCAGCAACCCAGAAGCTGCCTGCCAAAGACTTTACTCACAAAGGGAGGTTTTTCTCCTCCGTCCGATACACCAAAATAAGTCCACAAAGCCAAAGAATTGTCAAGTCCAGTCCATAATAAATCCAAGGAAAGCATATAACGAAGTTCCAGAAACGCAGTATGACTTGCTAGCTGTTCAGTTTTGTCCGTCACAAGGCCTGAATGGCCACCACACCCCCTTTTATCCCCTGTGGGGTGTGGTCCAGTGACTCAGCTTAATCTCTGGCACGCCTCTTTCTCTGCTGCGCGCGCTTATCTTTCCGACGCTGGCGGGGATCCAGCCAAGACTTATCTCCTGTCTAACTGCGGCTGCTCGGAAGTGCCTGGCTCCTGGCCTATCTCTTCTCCTTCGGAAGACACCTGAGGCATTGCCAGAGAGGAGGATCCTGAAGAGGGAGGCCTTGCCAACTCCTCTCCTTCACTTTCGAAGTCTTCTCCCTCTGATAAGACGGGCTCGGGGGTCGGAGTCACAACACAAAGTATTAACTGACATGGGAATCCTTTTTGTATATCTCGTTTTTTCTATGGTGATTTTTGTAGATCTCGTTTTTTCTACGTGTTTCACTTTTCCTCTTTATAACTGCTATTCTAATAGCAAATCCTTCATCAAAGTTATGGCATGACAATTTTGATTAAATTATCTTTCCATTGATATGTAATTTTATGGTACCACACTCCCAATAAAAGCGGTGTTATTAGCTAGTTTTAGAAAGTACACATTTCCCAAAATTGTTTCCACAATTCCACCATGCTTGCACCAAGGATTCTTAAAGAGTCTCTGTTCCTGGATGGAGATTGATTGCCTAAAGAATCGTAACAGGAGAAGAAGTTAATTGCAATCTGGGACAGAGACTGGTGTTCACACAACAAACCATGCCAGGGTTTTTTTTGAATAGTGGTTATTTAAACAAGCCACAATGGCCCGATTCCCTAACAGAGTGATGGCTAACCTTTTTGCCATCGCGTGCCAGGAGAGGGAGGGGCGGGGGAGGGTCGCGTACGCACGTGCCCACACGCATGTGTGCAACCCCCTCCCCCCCTCCCCCCCGCTCCTGGCACATGATGGCCTGATAGGCCCATTTTTCTTTCTTACCTGGTTCCAAATCCTCTCTGTGTATCTGGGAACGGCGAAAACAGCCTTTCCCACTCCCTTGGAGGCCCTACGGAGGCTGAAAGGGCCCATTTCCCAACTCTCGGTGGGACAGGAAGTGACATTTTTTGCTGTCCCCAGCCTCCAGAACCTCTCTAGGAGTCTCTCTAGGAGTCTGTAGGAGCCTCTCTAGGAGTCTCTAGGAGTCTTCTGGCATGTATTTATGACACTTGTGCTGATGTTCTGACCCAAACATGACAAACCCTCTAGAGTTGAAGCAACGATTCCTTGATTAGGAGCGCCAGCAGCCCCGGCAAAAAAGTTTCTCTCTCACCGCAGGCTAACAAGTGTGTCAGGCTGGGAGATGAATAGATGTCTGCCACATCTATTCATCTCCACCGCCTGCCTTTTATCCCCAGAGCTAGGGTGGGGCTTCGCTAGCAGCGGTGGCTCTTCTATCCCAAGGACCAGCCCATAGATTTCCACTGCCCTCCTCTCCTCTGCCTTCTGCATATCCACAGGTCAGGCACTGGACCCAGCTGTTCCTCCTCTTCCTCATCAGCCACCTCCAGACCTGGGGGCTGTTGACTCTCCATCTGAGGGCTGATAGATGGACCAGGCTCCACTTCTGTCTCTCTCTCTCTCTGCCAGCTCAGTGGTGGGTTCCTCCCGGTTCGGCCCGGTTCTCCCGAGCCAGTAGCGGTGACGATATGACATCACCGAACTGGTTCTTCCCCCCTTCCCCACCCCACCCCCACGTTATTCTTACCTTTTATTTGGTCCCACCCCCAATCTATTGCTGCCTCCTGAGTCCCAGCTGATGGCTAGAGGGGAAAAAAACCTGTTTAAACTCTTGCCGCGGGGCTTCAAAGGGCCGCCCTACAGCTGATCAGTGTTAAAAGAAAACAAATGAGTAGACCAGTGCCTGCAAAAATACATGAGTAGACCAGTGCCTGCAAAAATACATGAGTAGACCAGTGCCTGCAAAAATACATGAGTAGATCAGTGCCTGCAAAAATAAATGGGTAGACCAGTGCCTGCAAAAATAAATGGGTAGACCAGTGCCTGCAAAAATACATGAGTAGACCAGTGCCTGCAAAAATACATGAGTAGACCAGTGCCTGCAAAAAATAGATCGGTACAGCTCTGCACGCAGTTAAAAGCCTGGTAGACCAGTACCTCTGCTAAATCCTAAATAATTGTCACATGACCATCAAGCCATGCCCACAAAATAAGCCACAACCACAGAACCGGGAGTAAAAAAATTTAGAACCCACCCCTGTGCCAGCACCATTCCCCCTCGGAGCTCTCAGGTTGATGCTGACCCTGACTCCCACGCCTCCTCCTCCTCCTCTGATTTGGCTTGCTAGAGGGAATGGTGGCCAACAGGCCACAACAGCTGACCTGGGATCAGGCAATCACAATCTGCAACCTTCCCAGGCAGCTTCCAACAAGCAAAGTCAATGGGGGAAGCCAAATTTGCTTAACGGCTGCACGATTCAACTGTGGTCCTAAATTGAGGATTACTTGTATGGCTTAGGACAGGGGTGCTCGATCCCGTCACAGGGTGTATCAGGATCTTGTTTGCCTTTGGGGGCTGGGGCGAGCGTGGCCTGGAGGGCGTGGCTGAGTGGGTGGGCGTGGCTGGTCCTGGGACGGCAGGGGCTGGTCCCGGGACGGCAGGGGCTGGTCCCTTGCTGTCTCCGGGACAGCCACGCGGGCCAATTCCAGGGCCTATCACGGGCCAAATCCGGTGCACGGGCCACACGTTTGACACGTCTGGCTTAGGAGAATGTAACACCAACAAACAGGAATGTCACCCATGCTTCAAATGTTGTTCGTTGTTTAACGACCCCGTAATCCCTTGCAAGGTGGAGTCGGTGCAACTGAACGGAGCTGAGTGTTTTACTGGCCGGACTCCTTTCCTGTCGCCAATGCGGAGTTTTATTCAGCAGATATATTCTCATCGTGCCCAGAGATAGAAATACCAGCCTCTACCTAGGATCAAACTCACAGCCTCCTGATTGTGAGGCGAAAGCTCCACAATTCCGTACGTTCCTTAGCTGGGAGGAGGACGACTTACTTTCAGTTTGGAGAGTGTTAATGACATCATCCAGAATGCAGTCAGGAGAAAAGCCAGGAGTTTTTGACAACAGGCCCAGCAAGGAAGCAATTTTCAATCTCACGGAGGGATCGGTTTCCTGTGGATAAGAGAAGGATGTCAAAATATCTTGTCTGCAACCGTCCCAGCCGGTTTCCAACAAGCAAAGTCAACAGAGAGCTGCATGGTTCGCTTAGCGATGTGCCATTTACTAAATGGCCGTGTAACTCGCTGAATGACTATGCCAAAAAAAGGTCATAAAATCAGGGACAGTCCCATGATGCCTCGCTTATCGCTTGCATTGCTTAACGACAAATTTTTCAGTTATTCATTTCATTTGTTAAATTTACTTGCCGCCGATCGTGCTATGGGCTTACTCTAGGCTGGTTACGATAATAAAAAGAGCCTTGGTAGTATAGTGGTCTAAAGCACTATATTATTGTGCTTTATTATTAAGACTAGCTGCCTGCAATTACTGCAGGTTCGAATCTCGCCAAGGCTCAAGGTTGACTCAGCCTTCCATCCTTTCTAAGGTAGGTAAAATGAGGACCCAGTTTGTGGGGGCAATAAGCTGACTTTGTATAAATATACAAAAGTATGAAGGCTATTGCTTAACGCATTGTAAGCCGCCCTGAGTCTCCAGAGAAGGGCGGCATATAAATCAAAAAAAAAAAAAAAAAGGAAGACAATGAAAGGCATGTAAACAGAAATAAGATTAATAGGAAGATGAAATAAACAATGACAAAGGAACACCATGAGAATAATACAGATATTCCTCAACTTACAATTGGGTTAATGACTGTCCGATGTTACAACGGCACTGAAAAAAAGTGACATGACCGATTCTCACACTTACGACTGCTGCAGCACCCCCATGTCCACGTGATCAAAATTCGTATGCTTGGCAATTGGCCAGTATGTACCCCATACTGGGTACTGGTCACCCCTTTTGTGACCGTCCGACAAGAGAAATTCAATGGCAGGAAGCCAAATTCACTTAACAACCGTGTGACTAACTTAATAACTACAGCGAGTCACTTAACAACTATGCAAGAAAGGTTGTAAAACGGGGCCAAAAGTCACTTAACAACTCATCTCACTTAGCAACGGACGTTTTGGGCTCCATTGTGGTCATTGGCCGAGGACTACCTGTACATCAATATAGTAAGCAAAAGGATGGATGGATGGAGATGTTCTGCGCCAGCTACGGACCCCAAAGAACGCAGCACACACAAAGTCTGTACAAACCTTAGTTTACTAAATTAAATCAGGTTTTTTTTCAAACAAAGGCTGTTAATTAACTTTCTTAACAGCCTACAAGAATCCAAAGAATAAATAATCTTAATCTTACTATGGTTGGCAGAAAGCCCAGAAGCAATTTGCAGAGAACTAAGATCAAGACGCGAAGGAGAGTGAACGAAGTTGTTCCCTGCAAATTGCTTCAGTCGGCGTTCCTCCTTAAATAGGCTAAGGGAGTGGCCAATTAGCCCCAAGCCTTACTCTCGAGGAGACCTCCTCCTGAGGAGCCTCCCCTGCCTTTTGGCAGCTCTGCGCGCCCGTGCATCGAGAAGAGGCTCCTCCTCTTCTTCCTCTTCACCCATGGAAGCTTCTGGAGGTTCTGAAGGCCCTGGCTGAATCCTCGCCTCTGGCACCACATCTTCAGCCTCCTCATTGTCCGACTCGAGTGCCAGCTGCACAGGCTGATGGCGCAGCACCACACCAGCCTCCTCGCTGTCGGAATCAGCCACCAGCCGCACAGGCTGCATACAGGCCACAACAGGAGAGCAGAGAGCAAGGGAAGTGTTCTGACCCAGCCTTCGCAAGCCATCTGAAACCGCTTACTCACAAGTAAAACGAACCCCCTTGTTTCAAACAGGGCAGGAACAGTCCCGTCACATTGGATTAACAACCCCAAAAAATGATTAGTCACAAATGAACGTCTTTTCCCCTTCTGAAACAGGGCACGAACAGTCTCTGTTGACATGAGAACCCAAGATAAGAAGTCCTTTCAATGATTAAACCAAGCAGAAACCGTCCCACGTTCACACCGGCTGAGGCAAATTCACTCCCTGTTGTTTCCCAGTAGGGAGACTCAGTTGGCACCTCAAATACAGAGCAATTAGTCCCAACAAACCAAGTTCTGGCAAAGGAGTCCGACTTGATTGATGTACACTGGAAAATGAACGGTTATTTGCAACAACCGGCCACTCGCAGACCCCTAGTATTTATTTCCCAGCCTGGGACGGGCTGGCTAGCGTCTACAACTTCTTTTCCCTGAGAGCCGGCTTATTGATTTCCTTTGTTCTCCTCTCCTCTGTATGCATAAGCGGATCAGGCCCCATCTGCTCCTCTCCCTCACTCAGCTCAGGCCACCTGGAGGAATGTTAGGATATGGTGTAAGCCTAACAGGTTGTCCAGGCAATATATGTGTTCTGCGGCTTTAACATAAATATATTATATGACTTTAAGTTTTACCGCAGTATCATTGTACTGCTGAGTCATGCTGTAATCTAGTTAATCACTAGTTGTAAATGTATTTAAGAAGGGGACTGTAATGTAGTCAGTTGATGATATGCTACCAGCGTGCATGATATGCTACCATTGTGTGAGGAGTTGCTATCATTATGCTATCATCGTTGATGGATCTGCTACCATCGTGGTTTGTGTACCAGAGTGAACTTGTTATTCTAACCAACTACTGTTTGTATGGTAAGAAGATTTTTGTATCACTGGACTGATTTAACTGGCAAAGACTCGGATTGTTTAAAAGACTATGAGGTTGTTTTTTCACTATAAAGTAAACTTTTGATAAACCAGTTTGCAAGTATCTCTTATTCATTGCTCTCAGTTTCTCTGTGTTCTACACTCTGCTGGTTGGTAACACAACAACAATATCCTTAACAAGGAGGACGGAAGGCCTCGGCTGTTGTGACCCAGGCCCAAGTAGGTATTATCAGACGCAATCAATTCTAAAGAAACAGATTTTATTAAAACAGATGAGAATCAACTCATTCTCAGCATAGTCCAAACTAATTCAAAACAAATACTTCATAGCATAGTTCTTCAGCCTTATCACCAACCTTAGTCTAATTAGGCAACCTGCCAAAGGCTTCTCTTGGCAAAAGTTCAGAAGCAGAAGACGCCGACACGAAATAAATGCAGCAAGACAAGAAACAAATCTATCAATGTTGTTTTCCGACAAAGAGGCCAAGAGCCGTTGCTGGTCTTTTAAGCTTTCTGGGAGGGGCCAATCATCTCTTGGCCTTACTCCTGAGTCGTCCTTTTTGCTTTAGCTGCTCTTGCCTTCTGGCAGCTCTTCTCATGCATGCACTAGGAACAGGCTCCTCCTGCTCCTCTGCCTCTCTACTGTCTGCCTCTGGAGGCTCCGGTGTCCGCACATCACTCCCAGATGGCCCTGGCCCCATCTCTGCCTCCGACGCAGAGCCCTCATCTGGACCTTCCCCAGACTCCAGGACTGGCCCATGTTCCTCCCCAGCCTCCTTGCTGTCCGACTCCGCTGCCAGCTCCGCAGGCTGCTGGCGGACCACAACACCGGTGTTGTGGCCCCGCCCTCTGAGCCTGTCCCATCGGAGGAAGAAAGCTCCGAGCATGAGGAAGAGGAGTCAGCCAGGCCTCCCTCTCCAGGCCCCTCCCCTCTGGCATTGTCTCAAGTGCCGGCCGAGGGAGAAGAGACAGCTGATTCGAATCAGAGTGATGAAGAAACATCATTCCTGGACGCACGCCTCCGAAGGCGTGATAAACATTTGCAGCAGCTTAGGAGGCGTGCTAGGGATTAGAACTGAGTCACTGGACCACACCCCAGAGACTATATAATAGAGGGTAGTGGTCAAAGGATCCTTGTGACGAACAAAGCAAACCTTAGATAGTCACTAAAGCCTCGTCCGGAACTGCTGAGAGAAAGATTTAAAGTGTCGGACATTTGGACTCTTGAGTATTTATCTTTCTGTTTTTACTTTGAAAATAAAGTCACTTGGCAGACGGTGTGTCTATCGCTGCCAAGTGGAAGATAAGACCTGGGTGCGTTCCAAAGTGTTTCCTTAACCCTCGACTGGCTGTGTGTGTGTGTGTGTGGGTACGGGGACAGATCAACCGGCTCTGCCTCTGTCTTTGATTCTGCTTCCTCATCAAAGCCTTCCAAAGACTACCCAAGCTCCCCCTCCCCTTCCCCACCCCTCCTTGTCTGACTCTGCTGCTAGCTCCGCTGGCAGCCAACCGGTCACAACAGGTGGGGCAAGTGGAATCTGCCATCCATCATCCAGTTCCCATTGTGGTCGTAAATCAAAACCTATAAATCTCAAACATAATTTCGGTCCCCCAAAGAATTGTCCTACCTTGTAATAATGTTCCAGCAAGATTCGCACAACGCCTTCCACACTTTCAGCCTCCACGGGTTTCCTGGCAAACTGAAGCAGGTATTGCAACGCATCGGCTGGCGAAGTGGCTTTGCAAAGATCTACGTGAAGGGCGGCAGATTTGCTGGGTTTGGTTAGCCGGAGTTTTTTAGCCGAAACTTCTTCATGCTGTTGTTGCTGAAACATTAACGCAGAGTTTACATTACGATCAAATTTTTTGTTTCTTTATCATGGGCTTCTATATATCTTTTTATTTTTTATTTACGGTTTATGGTTAAATTTTCATTTTGTTTATAATGGACTTCTATATATCTTTTTATTTTTTTATTTATGGTTAACAGTCTAATTTTTCTTTTGTTTATAATCTATATATCTTTTTATTTTTTATTTATGGTCAAATTTTCGTTTTGATTATAATCAACTTCTATATATGTTTTTATTTTTTCTTTACGGTCAAATTTTTGTTTTGTTTATAATGAACTTCTATATATCTTTTTATTTTTTATTACGGTTAACAGTCTAATTTTTCTTTTGTTTATAATCTATATATCTTTTTATTTTTTATTTATGGTCAAATTTTCGTTTTGATTATAATAGACTTCTATATATGTTTTTATTTTTTCTTTACGGTCAAATTTTTGTTTTGTTTATAATGGATTTCTAAGTATGTTTTTATTTTTTATTTACGGTTTACGGTCAAATTTTCATTTTGTTTATAATGGACTTCTATATATCTTTTTATTCTTTATTTACGGTTTACGGTCAAAAGAAAAATACGAAAAGTATATGAAAATATATATATAAAAGAAAAAGAAAAAATCTATGCTAAATATAAGAGAAAAATACGAAAAGCATACGAAAACGTATAAAAATAAAAAAATCTATGCTAAATATAAGAGAAAAATACAAAAAGCATACGAAAACATAAAAATAAAAAATCTATGCTAAATATAAGAGAAAAATACGAAAAGCATACGAAAACGTATAAAAATAAAAAAATCTATGCTAAATATAAGAGAAAAATACGAAAAGCATACGAAAACGTATAAAAATAAAAAAATCTATGCTAAATATAAGAGAAAAATACGAAAAGCATACGAAAACGTATAAAAAGAAAAAGAAAAAAATATGCTAAATATTTTATATGAAATATAAAAGTCTCCTTTTTCCCTAGCATCCCAGGTCGCGTCCACACGGTCCTACCAACCCGGGTCAAGCGTAACGTGAGAACCCGCCCGTTTCCTTGGTACGTGGACGGCCTGAACCACGCAACGCGCCGCCTGTTTCGATAACCCGGGTTCCGCGTGTCGTGTGAAGAGAGCCAGACAAGCGGGCATCGCGTTCCACCCCGCCCCGGCCCCTCTCCCGCCCCGCAGCCTTGTTTCCGTGAACTCCCTCCGTCCCCGGCCCCTCCTTCCCTCCCTCCCGAGAGCCTCGCCGGTTACCTGGACCACCACTTTGCTGAACTCCTCGTAGACCCGCTTCTTCAGGTGAGCCGCCATGAGCCAGGCCGAGCTTCGCCTTCTGGGCCCTTAGGAGCCTCCTCGGCCGCCGTAGCCGCCCTCTCTCTCTCGCTCGCTCGCTCGCTCTCTCTCTCTCTCATCGTCGCTGAAGAGGCGGGGCGCTCCTCGTCTCCCGACTTTCATGCGGCCGTGACTTCAGGTTGTCAAGGGCAGCTTTCAGAGGCTTCCATTTGCGGGGTCGGAGTGGCGGAAGTCAATGGAAGTACCGCAGATGTGATTTGTCGAGAGGGCGGGGGGGGTCTTTCGCCGGAGCAGATCGATCGATCAGTCTGTGTCTATCAAGTATCTATCATCTATCTATCAATCTATTTATCTATCTATCATTTATCATCTACCAATCAATCATCTCTCATCTATCAATCAGTGTATCTCTCATCTATGTATTTATCTATCCATTTATCTTTCTATCATCAATCAATCAATCAGTCTATTATCTATTTATCTATCATTTATCATCTACCAATCTCTCATCTCTCAATCAGTCTATCTATCATCTATGTATCTATTTATCCATCTATCTTTCTATCATCAATCAATCTTTCTATTATCTATTTATCTATCTATTTATCATTTATCATCTACCAATCATGTATCATCTATCTCTCATATATCAATCAGTCTATCTATCATCTATCTATCTATCTATCTATCTATCTATCTATCTATCCATCATCTATCTATTTATCTATCTATCTATCCATCCATCCATCCATCTCTATCTTCCATCTATCTATCTATCCATCCATCCATCCATCTCTATCTTCCATCTATCTATCTACCTATCTATCTATCCATCCATCCATCCATCCATCCATCCATCCATCCATCTCTATCTTCCATCTATCTATCCATCATCTATCTATCCATCCATCCATCCATCCATCCATCCATATCTATCTATCTATCTATCTATCTATCTATCTATCTATCTATCTATCTATCTATCTATCTATCTATCCATCTATCCATCCATCCATCCATCCATCCATCCCTATCTTCCATCCATCCATCTATCTATCCATCCATCCATCCATCCATCCATCCATCCATCCATCCATCTATCTATCTATCTATCTATCTATCTATCTATCTATCTATCTATCCATCCATTCATCCATCCATCTCTATCTTCCATCTATCTATCTATCCATCCATCCATCCATCCATCCATCCATCCATCCATCAATGGGCTTGACTTCCATGCTAAAAATCCACTCCAAAGAGAGCTGGTAAAGACGTGCAGTTGAAGTGGATTTACCCTATAACTCAGGGTTTCTCTTCCTTGGCAAGTTTAAGGTATGTGGACTTTTAACTCTCAGAATTCTGGCATCAAAATACAGATACTTTTAAACTTGCCAAGCTTACATAGGTAGTTCTCGACTTACAACCATAACTGACCCTCAAAATTTCCATAAAAACATGCCAGTTGCCAAGCATCTGAAATTTGATGATATGACCCCAGGGATGCTGGAACAGTCGTACCTGTGAAAATCATAAATCACTTTTTTTCAGTTCCTTTGTTACTTCGAACGGTCACTAAACAAATGTTTGTAAATCGAAGACTACCTGTAAAAGAATGCTGCTATCTTGGTCTGTATGTATTTTAACTTGTGACAACAATTGTATCCTTGTTCTTTAGGACTGTTTGAACAAATCATGTGCATCCGATTTATTTCCTGGTACTGTATTTGCTGGCATCACTGTTGTTTTGCACTGGGGGCAGGTCAGGGTTTGTTTTCTTTTTTTACACTGAGTTGGCTTTTGGTTTTCTTGAATGTGCTTCAAGTCGCTAAGGTTGAGAAACGCTGGGTTAAGGTGTTAAGAAGCAAAGCTGCTTTTTTTTCCAAGAAGCAACTGGACTTTCTGGTTTTTTCTTCGAAGACGTTTCACTTCTCATCCAAGAAGCTTCTTCAGCTCTGACTGGATGGTGGGGAAACGGAAGGATTCATATTTACATAAATGACCAGCTGTCTGCAAGGAATATCAATCCTTCCAGAACCAACCCACCACTTCATACCACGCTCACCAAGCCATGCCCACCAAACTGGTAGCAAAACAATTTGAATTTTACCACTGCCCAGCTGGCTTTCATGCCTAAGGCGGGACTAGAACTCACGGTTTCCTGGTGATTTGCCCAAAGTCACTTAGCTGGCTTTCATGCCTAAAACGGGACTAGAATTAACCGTCTCCTGGTGATTGGCCCAAAGTCATGCAGATGGTATTCATGGCTAAGGCAGGACTTGAACTCGCGATCTCCCACTTTCTAGCCTGGTGCCCTAACCACTAGATCAAATCTTGGTCCTTCCTTTGACATGGAAACCAAAGGGCTGATCTTGAATGAGTGAACTGTTTCTCAGCCCTGATCAGTGTCCCTGTAACAAGCCAGTTAAAAGATAAACTCTCTTTCAACATCCTGGGTGGATAACTCTATTGTGTTTGGTGCAGTAAGTTATTTTGGAGGGAATTCCTCCAGTGCTCCTTGAATAAATAATTATTACAGTGAGGCTTAATTATCTGTTTTGGGGTCCTGAGTTTGATTCCACAAGTTATAAAAACAAACTTAAGGGGGGTGTTGGAAAAAAAACGATTCCGTAATCTTGAAGGAAGCACGAGACAAAAAACTCAAAATAACCTCATCTAGACTTTGCTTACTATAAGACGGATCGAGAGAAGTTTATGCAGGTTTTCGGGGTTCTGCTACTGTACCCTAGAGTTGTGCAGGTAGTCCTCGACTTCCGACCACAATTGAGCCCAACATTTCTGTTGCTAAGCAAGACTGTTGCTAAGTGAGCTTTGCCCCATTTTTCTTGCCACCGTTGTTAAAGTGAACCACTGGGGTGGTTAAGTCAGTAATACGGTTGTTAAGTGAATCGGGCTTCCCCCATTGACGTTGCTTGTCAGAAGATGATCATATGACACCAGGACACTGCAACCGTCATAAATAGGAGTCAGTGGCCAAGTGTCTGAATTTTGATCGCGTGACTTTTGCAATGATATTAAGAGTGAAAAACGGTCGTCAGTCGCTTTAGCAGTGCCGCTGTAACTTCAAATGGTCACTAAATGAATGGCTGTAAATCAAGGACTTCCTGTACCTTTTTTTGTTAAAAGAATTTTTTATTATTATTTTAAACAAAAACAACATAAAAACATCATCCTTTCAAACAATTATAGACAGTGTTTCGGTCAGTTAAAATCATTTCGTGCTCCCAAAATCTTCAAAATATCAATATATGACAAATGTTCTTTTCCCCTAAAAGAAAACAAGTGTTTACACATTTTATCTTAATTTCATTTCATACATCATATTTCATCTCCATGTTTTATTGTCTATCCATTGATAAAATAACTCCCATATCAAATAAGATTGTTTATCTTCCTGTTCTCTTATTTCAAGTGTCAGTTTACTCATTTCAGCACAGCACAGCATTTTCTTCATGATTTCTTCATCAGTAATTATCTTCTCTCCTTTCCAGTTTTTAGCAAATACAATTCTAGCCGCTGTTACAATATTCACAATTAAATATTGCAATTCTTTATTGAATGGTAAGATCCCTAATAAAAATGTCTCTGGTTTAAGATCAATGTGTCTTTTTATCATTTTTTCCAACCACATGTGTATCTTAGTCCAATATCTCCTTGCTTCTATGCATGTCCACCACATATGGTAATATGATCCTGGGGTCTGATGACACTTCCAACATTTCTCCAAATTTTGATTGCGTGACTTTTGCAATGATATTAAGAGTGAAAATCAGTCGTCAGTTGCTTCAGCAGTGCCATTGTAACTTCAAATGGTCACTAAATGAATGGTTGTAAGTCGAGGACTTCCTGTACCTTTGACATCCCCGTGGCGTCTGTTTGATAACCTGGAATATCTTGAAGAGCTGACACCTGGGGTGTTAGAACAGGTAAAGGGGAAACCTGACCACCTGGCATCTGAAAACAAGATGATTGGCAACTGGCTATATATCAACCTATACACCTGTCATTACACAGGTAAACTCAAAGGTGCTTTTTCAGGAGGCAACTGGACTTTCTGGTTTTTCTTTAAAGACCTTTCGCTTCTCATCCAAGAAGCTTCTTCAACTCTGACTAGATGATGGGAAATTTATTTATTTATTTATTTATTAGTCGCATTTCTATGCCGCCCAACTCCCTAGGGACTCTGGGCGGCTTAGAGCAAAAAAACAATGCGAACAATATCCCGTAAAAAAATGTTAAAAGAACATTAAAAACCCATACACTCCATTCCATGGCCGGGTCTTGCAAGATCGCCGTAGCGAGATCAACGGTCCCAGGCCTGCCGGAAAAGCCAGGTCTTCACCGCTTTCGGAAGGCCAGTAGGGTGAGGATGGTCCGGACCTCAGGAGGTAACTGGTTCCAGAGAACTGGGGCAGCCACAGAGAAGGCCCTCCCCCGCGGGCCCGCCAGCCGACATTGTTTAACTGACAGGACCCGGAGGAGACCAACTCTGTGGGATCTTACCGGTCATTGAGAGCTATGCGGTAGAAGGCGGTCTCGAAGATAGCCTGGCCCTGAGCCATGTAGGGCTTTCAAGGTAATAACCAACACCTTGAATTGTGCCCGGAGACCAATAGGGAGCCAGTGTAGCTCGCGGAGAATTGGTGCAATGTGGGTGTACCTAGGTGCACCCACGACAGCTCACGTGGCTGCATTCTGGACCAACTGTAGTCTCCGAACACTTTTCAAGGGTAGCCCCATGTAGAGCGCGTTGCAGTAATCTAACCGTGAGGTGACAAGGGCATGTGTGACTGTGAGGAGAGCCTCCCAATCCAAGTAGGGTCGCAATTGGTGCACCAGGCGAACCTGTGCAAAGGTCCCCCTAGCCACAGCTGTCAGATGTTGTTCCAATCTTAGCTGTGAGTCTAGGAGGACACCCAGATTGCGAGCCCATTCTGAGGGGGACAATTTCTCCCCCCCCAGGAACAAGGATGGACAATCGACGTAATCTTTAGGAGGCAATACCCACAGCCATTCGGTCTTGTCTGGGTTAAATGGAAGGATTGATACTCCTTGCAGACAGCTGGTCATTTGCATCCTTTTAGAGAGTCGTTGAGGCCACTTGAAGGTTTCTCAGGTGTCCTCAGGGTCACCTGAGTGGCGCAAGTGGGCATGGAGCCTTCTTGGAACTGCTGAAAGGACTGTGTTGTAGACTGGAGATAGATGATGTCATATATTCCTCCCTCTCTGTTGAGAGAGAGCCGTTCAATTTTGACATAGACGGCATCTTTGACGCCTCTTTTAAACCAGCGCCCCTCTCTGTCGAAAACGAGAAGTAAAACGTCTTCAAAGAAAAACCACCTTTGAGACAACCATGATTTGGATGACTAAGAATCTCCATAGAGATTTACACAAATAAGCCTTCATCTTCCTGTTGGCCTGTTTCCTATTATGTGAGAATGCCCACCAAGATCCAAGTGTTCTCCAAAGATCTCAAACTCCAGATAAGGAGCAAAGTTTAGAGATTCTAGACTGCTCAAATTCAGCAGACATATGGAGTGATCTTCTGGCAGAAATCTGGAGTGATCATCTGCCTTACGTAGCCCAGGGCTGGGAAAGCTACCCAAGAGACCTTCAAGATCTTACGAGTTTATGAGTTTTGAGCTACCACCAATGGAACAAAAACTTGTAGAAGAAGTCATTGGCTTTGAATCGAAAGCCTTTTTCTGGAACGTAGCTCTGGAAGGAAGTCTTGTAACCTTTGGCTTCTACGTCCATCTTGATGCAGTCCAGGAGATCCAGAATGTTCGGGGCAGCTTTCCACGGGCCAAACTGGACCACGGATTTCTTGGAGGTATCTAAGCTGCTGAGAGCATCGCTGCACCTCGCCACATCTTCCAAAGTCTTCATCACGCAGAGCATGACGCTGGACTGGCGGGAAGCCACAGCTTCTGCCCGGGCGATTCGGATCATCAGCTCGATGTTTTCGGAGTAGTTGGGCACCCGAGCAAGGAACTGCTTCCTGGCCACCAGCTCACCAAAGATCTGAGGGGACTCTTCCAGTTGCTTGATCAGAGGCTTGATGTCATAGTAGGTGGCTTCTTTGTAAACCTCCTCAACGTGTTGCAAGGGGACCTGATCACTACGTAGATAATCCAGGATGTATTTAAAATAAGTTCCAGGACGGTCTATGACGAATCGCCCCACCGAATCTATTCGAGGTTTAGCCTGGCCAAACATCTCAGCCAATTTGGATCCTGGGTACTTCTTCAGAGTGCTCAATGTGGTTGTGAAGATGTCCCCGCCAACGTTTAACTCGACGATTTGACACTGTAGATGAGAAAAGGGAGGGGGAAGATATGCCACATTTCAGTTTTGAGAAGGGAAAGAGCAGGGACAGCCACAAAGATCTAGTTAAAATAGCATTTTAATCAATAATACGTTGTTTTAAAGAGGTTCTCCTTGGTTCTTCTAGGTCTAGGAACATTACCCCTCCTGTGGGATTGGCCTGCCCTACATAGAGTAGAGTAGAGTAGAGTAGAGTAGAGTAGAGTAGAGTAGAGTAGAGTAGAGTAGAGTAGAGTAGAGTAGAATAGAATAGAATAGAATAGAATAGAATAGAATAGAATAGAATAGAATAGAATAGAATAGAATAGAATAGAATAACAGAGTTGGAAGGGACCTTGGAGGTCTTCTAGTCCAACCCCCTGCTTAGGCAGGAAACCCTACACCACTTCAGACAAATGGCTGTCCAACATCTTCTTAAAAACCTCCAGTGTTGGAGCATACACAACTTCTGGAGGCAAGTTGTTCTCTTTTTTTTATTATTATTATTAAGTTTTTAATTAAAGACAAAACACAAAACACAAAACCACACCCAGTGTATAATACAAAATAGGGAGAAGCGGAGGAATTTTTTCTTCATCTTCAGGTCTTCCAAAATTCTCTTTGCATTGGCACTGGCATTATTTCTTCCAAGTTCCTGATTGCGTAGTCCACAAACGGTTGCCATATCCTCCAAAATATGTTTTCTTTCAATAGTCCTTTTTTTAATTTTATATCACCCGTTAACTTATCATTAAGAGCAATTTTCCAAACTTCTCTGAACCATTCATTTATTTTGTATTCAATATTCAATTTCCAATATCTTGCAATCACAATTCGTCCCATAATGACCAATATCCTTACAAGCTCTCTTTCATCAATTATTTTTTTTAATTGAAAAAGTTTTACAAATACATTTTCTCCCCAGTTTCCCCCACTAACCCTCCCTAACCCCCCTAACCCTTCCGTCCCCCCTTGACTTCCACAAAATATAATCCAAATCAAAATCACATTTTATAAAACTTGAACCCCTCCACCCCCTGTATATTGTTCAGATCTTCACAAAATTCAATTATTCTATCCCTACATAATACATTCAGTTAAAAGCTATCTGGTATTTCCTAGTTTGGTATTTATTCTGCACATAATCTATCCACTTTTTCCACTCCCATACATAAGTCTCTTGTGAACGATCTTTTAGATATGCTGAAATCTTCGCCATCTCTGCAAAACTGGCCATCTTCAAAGTCCATTCTTCAATAGTGGGCATAGCTTCATTTTTCCAATATTGACCTATCAGTAATCTCGCTGCTGTTACCATATACAATATCAACTTTGTTTCACCCAATGCGAAACCCTTAGCTATACCCAATAAAAACAGTTGGGGAGAAAACTGAAGTTTTTTCTTCAAAACATTTTGCATAACCCACCAAATTTTTATCCAAAAAGCCTTCACTTTCTTACAAGTCCACCACACATGATAATAACTTTCATCAATTGTTAACACCTTGTCATTCAACTTTAATATGAGGATGGTATCTACTCCCAACTTTACCTTCTTTTTAATTATTTTACTAGATTCTTCTTCTATTCGTAACCAAAAATTCTTCACTTTACGACATCCATACCACATGTGTTCGTATGTCCCATTCTCCATTTTACATCTCCAACATAACTTGCTAGCACTTTTATTCATTTTATATAATCTTATTGGGAACAGGTACCATTTCCAGATAACTTTATAACTATGCTCCTTTATTCTTATTGATAAGGTCCTCATTATTCTATGGAGGCAAGTTGTTCCACTGATTAATTGTTCTCACTGTCAGGAAATTTCTCCTTAATTCTAAATTGCTTCTCTCCTTGATTCGTTTCCACCCATTGCTTCTTGTCCTGCCCTCAGGTGCTTTGGAGAATAGCTTGACTCCCTCTTCTCTGTGGCTGCCCCTCAAATATTAGAAATATCACCCCTGGTCCATCTTTTCACTAGAGTAGACATACCCAATTCCAGCAACCGTTCTTTGTATGTTTTAGCCTCCAGTCTCCTAATCATCCTTATTGCTCTTCTCCGCACTCTTTCCAGAGTCTCAACTTGTAAAAAAAAAAATGTTGGAATTAAGTATATCTACAAAATCCAGCCAAAACTGGCTGCAATATTCGAAGTATGGTTTTTATCATAAATTTCCTGACAGTGAGAACAATTAATCAGTGGAACAACTTGCCTCCAGAAGTTGTAAATGCTCCAATACTGGATGTTTTAAAGAAGAGGTTGGATAACCATTTGTCTGAAGCGGTGTAGGGTTTCCTGCCTAAGCAGGGGGTTGGACTAGAAGACCTCCAAGGTCCCTCCCAACTCTATTATTCTAAGTATTTTTTTTTATTGAAAAAGTTTTACAAATACAGATTTTTCCCTCTTTCCCCCCCCTTTCCCTCCCTAACCCTCCCTTACCCTCCCCTACCCCCATGACTTCCCAAGGGTGAAACCTAAATCCAAATCACATTATATAATACTTTACCACCCATCTACTCTACCCCCTGTGAAGTATACATTTCTTCCTAACATACAACTATTCTACCCCATATATGCTATACATTTCTACACAACGTTCAGCTTATTGTAAGTATTATCAAGGCCTTATAAAGCGGTATTAACACTTCACATGCTGGCTGGGGAGTTGAAGTCCACCCATCTTCAAACCGCTGCGGTTGACAAATCCTTTTCTTAGTGCGTTGTGCGATCTCAGCCCACTGACTGCACAATGTGTACATCAAGCCAAGCCTTACACAAAGCGGCAGATTCCACAAAGACCCACAAAGAGATGCCTTTGGCACCTCTCTTCCCTCAGCGCATCAGCTCCTCAAACGCAGCAACATATTGCCTACTTACCAGCTGCTCCTTGAGGGTGGCAAGACTGCCAGAGAGGGGATTAAACCCACCCACTCCCGTTCTCCCTTCCTCATTTTTGCTTTCTTCTGTCTTGCTTACCGTCGGCAAGTTTGCCGGGCTTTGTTTTCCAAGCATCTTCGGCTCGGGAGAATTACTCATTTTTGACTCCTTCAGCACTGGTGTCTCAGAGGTCTTTACCAGTTAGAAGTCGGTGGGTTATTGTTGGGAACGGACTCACAAACAGGTTCTCGTCACTGCAACACACCGATGTGCGTTGCACGCCAGACACTCCCTTCCAGGTGAAAACAGCATAACAGAGGCACCTGTAAGCGGAAGTTTTGCCTTTTAGGACACCTGCAGAGGTGGCACTACGCTCCGAAGTAGGAGGAGATCGCAGGCCAGCTTTTTTCCAAATTCCTGCCTCCAGGCAGACACGTCAAAGATGACGAAGAGCCAAATCAGCCTAATCTGTTCTTTCTCGTCTCTTTTGTGCCCTTCGGCCAACCGTCTCTTGCCTCCAGAAGTTGTGAATGCTCCAATACTGGAAGTTTTTAAGAAGAGATCGGATAACCGTTTATGTCTGAAGTGGTGTAGGGTTTTCCTGCCTGGGCAGGGGGTTGGACTAGAAGACCTCTAAGGCCCCTTCCAACTCTGTTATTCTGTTCTATTTCTCACCAAACAGGCATCGCCTTTGGCTCTTTTCCGATTCTCAGCTGATTCTGGATTTTTCAGCGCCCTCGGTCTGGCTGAAGACTCCCAAGCTTATCCCCTGCATTTGAACAGCTCAGTACAGGCAGTTCCTCAACTTACAACAGTCCATTTAGCGACCATTCAAAGTTACATGAAAAAATTGACTTAGGACTTTAGGAAAAACATAGGACTCTTTTTCCCACACAACCGTTGCAGCCTCCCCCATGATCAGGTGATCAAAATTCGGAGGCTTGGCAAACCGGTTCCTATTTATGACGGTTGAAGTGTCCCGGGGTTATGTGTTCTTCTTTTGCGACCTTCCGACAAGCAAAGAAAATGGGGGAGGGGTAGACAGATTCGCTTAACAACCGTGTTGCTAACTTAGCAAAGGTAAGGATTCACTTAACAATGGTGGTAAGAAAAATCGTGAAATGGGGGCCAAGCTCGCGTAAGAAATGTTTCACATAGCGACGTAAATACGGGGGGGGGGGGGCTCCATTGTGGTTGTAACGCGAGGACTACCTGTACTAAAGTCCTAGTTTTATAAGATTGACCTGTTCTCCAAAGCACCCGAAGGCAGGACAAGAAACAATGGCTGGAAACTAATCAAGGAGAGAAGCAACCTAGAACTAAGGAGAAATTTCCTGACAGTGAGAACAATTAACCAGTGGAACTACTTGCCACCAGAAGTTGTGAATGCTCCAACATTGGAAGTTTTTAAGAAGATGTTAGATAACCATTTCTCTGAAGTGGTGTAGAGCTTCCTGCCTAAGCAGGGGGTTGGACTAGAAGACCTCCAAGGTCCCTTCCAATTCCGTTATTCTGTTATTTGTCTAAAGAGGAGGCTAAAGAGGAATATCCTCTTAGGGCAGGTTTGGGGGGGGATAAGTCCCAGTATCAGTGGTGGATTTCTACTGGTTCGCCCCAGTTCGGGCAAACTGGTAGTGGTGGTGGTGGGAGGCTCCGCCCACCTACCTGGATGCCGTCACGGACACAGAAGCGCCACGTGCGAGCGAAGCAAGGGCATATGCGTGTGCTCTTAGTTCCGAACCGATAGCGAAGGTAAGTTGGAACCAGGGGTTGATTTTGACATTTTTACTACCGGTTCTGTGGGTGTGGCTTGGTGGGCGTGGCAGGGGAAGGTACTGTAAAATCCCCATTCCCACCCCACTCCAGGGGAAGGACACTGCAAAATCCCCATTCCCACCCCACTCCTGGGGAAGGATAGTGTAAAATTCCCATTCCCACCCCACTCCAGGGAAAGGACACTGCAAAATCTCCATTCCCACCCCACTCCAGGGGAAGGACACTGCAAAATCCCCATTCCCTCTCCATTCCAGGGAAGGATACTGCAAAATCTCCATTCCCTCCCCACTCCAATAGAAGGGTAATGCAAAATCCCCATTCCCTCTCCACTCCTGGGGAAGGATGCTGCAAAATCTCCATTCCTTCCCCACTCCAGTAGAAGGGTAATGCAAAATCCCCATTCCCACACCACTCCAGGGGAAGGATACTGCAAAATCTCCATTCCCTCCCCACTCCAATAGAAGGGTAATGCAAAATCCCCATTCCCTCTCCACTCCTGGGGAAGGATGCTGCAAAATCTCCATTCCCCCCCCACTCCAGGGAAAGGATACTGCAAAATCCCCATTCCCTCTCCACTCCAGGGGAAGGATACTGCAAAATCTCCATTCCCTCCCCACTCCAATAGAAGGGTAATGCAAAATCCCCATTCCCACCCCACTCCAGGGAAAGGATACTGCAAAATCCCCATTCCCTTCCCACTCCAGGTGAAGGATATTGCAAAATCTCCATTCCCACCCCTCTCTGGGGCCAGCCAGAGATGGTATTTGCCGGTTCTCCGAACTGCTCAAAATTTCCGCTGCCGGTTCTCCAGAACCTGTCAGATCCTGCTGGATTTCACCCCTGGATGGGTGGCATACAACTACTACAGGCAGTCCTCGACTTACGTCCATAACTGACCCCAAAATTTCTGTTCCTAAGCGAGATGGTTGATAGGTGAGTTTTGCTCCATTTTGCCACCTTCCTTGGCCACAGTTGTTAAGTGAATCCGACTTCCCCATTGAATTTGGCTGCCAGAAGGTCGCAAAAGGGATCACATGACCCAGGGACATTGCAACCGTCATAAATATGAACCACTGGCCAAAACATCTGAATTTTGATCACGTGACCGTGGGAATGTTGCAACGGTCATAAGTGTGAAACATGGTCACAAGTCACTTTTTTCCAGTGCCGTCGTAACTTTGAATGGTCACTAAGCAAACTGTTGTATGTCAAGGACATCCTGTACCTCTGACATCCCCGTGGCGTGTATTTGATAACCTGATCTACTTTGAAGAGTGACACCTGGGGAGTTAGAACAGGTAATGGAGAAACCTGACCCCCTGGCATCTGAAAACAGGATGGTTGGCAACTGGCTACATCAACTTATACACCTGTCATTACACAGGTAGACCCATATCTTCTGGTTGGCCTGTTTCCTGTCCGAATTGTGATCACATGACTGAGGAGATATTAACAATGGTTATAATTGTGAAAAAAGGTCATAAGTCACTTTTTTCAGTGCCCTTGTAACATAGAATAGAATAGAATAGAATAGAATAGAATAGAATAGAATAGAATAGAATAGAATAGAATCAGAACTAGATTAGATCAGACTAGATTAGAATTAGAATAGAATAGAATAGAATAGAATAGAATAGAATAGAACAGAATAGAATAAAATAATAGAATGGAATAGAATAGAATAGAATAGAATTCAGAAATAGAATTCAGAATGGAATAGAATTAGAATAGAATAGAATTAGAATAGAATAGAATTAGAATAGAATAGGAGAAGAAAATAATAGAATAGAATAGGATAGAATAGAATAGAATAGAATAGAATAGAACAGAACAGAATAGAATAAAATAATAGAATGGAATAGAATAGAATAGAATAGAATTCAGAAATAGAATTCAGAATGGAATAGAATTAGAATAGAATAGAATTAGAATAGAATAGAATTAGAATAGAATAGGAGAAGAAAATAATAGAATAGAATAGGATAGAATAGAATAGAATAGAATAGAATAGAACAGAACAGAATAGAATAAAATAATAGAATGGAATAGAATAGAATAGAATAGAATTCAGAAATAGAATTCAGAATGGAATAGAATTAGAATAGAATAGAATTAGAATAGAATAGAATTAGAATAGAATAGGAGAAGAAAATAATAGAATAGAATAGAATAGAATTCAGAAATAGAATTCAGAATAGAATAGAATAGAATAGAATAACAGAGTTGGAAGGGATCTTGGAGGTCTTCTAGTCCAACCCCCTGCTTAGGCAGGAAATCCTACACCACTTCAGACAAATGGTTAGCCAATCTCTTCTTTAAAACTTCCAGTGTTGGAGCATTCACAACTTCTGGAGGCAAGTTGTTCCACTGATTAATTGTTCTAACTGTCAGGAAATTTCTCCTTAGTTCTAGGTTGCTTCTCTCCTTGATTATTTTCCACCCTTTGCTTCTTGTCCTGCCTTCAGGTGCTTTGGAGAATAGCTTGATTCTCTCTTCTTTGTGGCAGCCCCTGAGATATTGGAACACTGCTAACATGTCATTATTATATTATAATAATAATAGAAGTAATGTTCATTGATAACAATAAGTTTTAACAAATGGGATTTGTCTATTTGGAAGTCATCAGAAAGCCAAGTATGATTTGAAAGGGGTTGTAGAGGATTTTCTCTACAAGAAAAAAAAAAACACAACACCTTGTAGATATTAGCTAATTTTGCAAATTTTGCAAGCAGGACAAACACTGAACCTGGAAAGAAGAAAGGGAATGAGCCAATATCTGGAATGAATTTTAGCCATGTAGTTTTATTCACAATAAGTGTGTCAGTTCAGTTACATACAAAAAAAAAAAAAGTAGCATAAATATCATTCTGAAAATGATTTTCAAACAGTGGCTAAATTCAACCCCACCCTGATACGGTATCTGGGCTGATTCAAAAGGTACACAAACCCAGAATATTTCATCTATGAATAATAACTTAATCTTCTTTTCGCTCGAAGTAAGTGCATAACCATAAATAAAAAAAATTGTGTTTTTTTGGTATTTCAAGACACAGTTTGCTGGCGAGAAAATTCTCTCATTCGCTTGGAACAAATTCAAAACCTTAAAACTCTTTCTAGAAATGGCAACAGGTTGATGGCTGTCCAAGAATGTTCTTTGGAGCAGTTTTTGAGAAGGTTTTTGGTCCATCGGTAGTTTTCAGGCAACGATAGTGGAGAAAACCTGTGAAATAAATCAGAAAAAATATTCGTCAGCGATCTGTCTCAGACAGCGTGAAGTCCAGGCAGCAGAAGGTGTTCAGGGGTACCCAAAATTCTTTATAAATAGCAAATCAGGGTGCAATGCTAGTTTTTTCCCCTCCTACAATATTCACTCTTGACCAGACTTCCCCTACATGTATTTGCAATGAGGGTCCTGATAATTAGGGATTAAATCATTGCTGCGAGGATACATTTTAAGTGTGGTACAGTTAATCGTGTTTTGGTGTGATTTCTTGCACAGTGGCAGGGTTCGTACATCGCAGGAAGCTCTGTTTGGGCAACATGGTTAGATTACATGGTCTTTATGATAATAGAGAAAAATAGGAAAGAAGGAAGGAGGGAGGGAGGGAGGGAGGGAGGGAGAGAGGGAGGGAGGGAGGAAGGAAGGAAGGAAGGAGGGAGGGAGGGAGGGAGGGAAGGAAGGAAGGGCGGGAGGGAGGGAGGGAGGGAGAGCGGAGGAAGGAAGGCAGGAAGGAAGGAAGGAAGGAGGGAGGGAGGGAGGGAGATGGGAGGGAAGGAGGGAGGAAGGAAGAATAGAAGGAAGGAAGGAGATGGGAGGGAGATGGGAGGGAAGGAGGGAGGAAGGAAGGAGGGAGGAAGGAAGAATAGAAGGAAGGAAGGAAGGAAGGAGGAAGGGAGGGAGGGAGGAAGGAAGGAAGAATGGAAGGAAGGAAGGGGATGGGAGGGAAGGAGCAGGGAAGGAAGGAGGAAGGGAGGGAGGGAGGAAGGAAGGAAGAAAGGAAGGAAGGGGATGGAAGGAAGGAGGGAGGAAGGGAGGGAGGGAGGAAGGAAGAATGGAAGGAAGGAAGGAGATGGGAGGGAGGTGGGAGGGAAGGAGGAAGGAAGGAGGGAGGAAGGAAAGAAGAATGGAAGGAAGGGGATGGAAGGAAGGAAGGAAGGAGATGGGAGGGAAAGGAAGGAAGGAAGGAGGGAGGAAGGGAGAGAGGAAGGAAGAATGGAAGGAAGGAAGGGAGGGAGGGAGGGAGAGAGGAAGGAAGGAAGGCAGGAAGGAAGGAAGGAAGGAAGGAAGGAAGGAAGGAAGGAGGGAGGGAGGGAGGGAGGGAGGGAGGGAGATGGGAGGAAGGAGGGAGGAAGGAAGAATAGAAGGAAGGAAGGAAGGAGATGGGAGGGAGATGGGAGGGAAGGAGGGAGGAAGGAAGGAGGGAGGAAGGAAGAATAGAAGGAAGGAAGGAAGGAGATGGGAGGGAGATGGGAGGGAAGGAGGAAGGAAGGAAGAAGGAAGGGAGGGAGGGAGGGAGGAAGGAAGAATGGAAGGAAGGAAGGGGATGGGAGGGAGATGGGAGGGAAGGAGCAGGGAAGGAAGGAGGAAGGGAGGGAGGGAGGAAGGAAGGAAGGAAGGAGATGGGAGGGAAAGGAAGGAAGGAAGGAGGGAGGAAGGGAGGGAGGGAGGAAGAATGGAAGGAAGGAAGGAGATGGGAGGAGAGGGAGGGAGGGAAGGGGAAGGAAGGAAGGAGGGAGGAGGAAGGAAAAAGAATGGAAGGAGGGGATGGAAGGAAGGAAGGAAGGAGATGGGAGGGAAAGGAAGGAAGGAAGGAGGGAGGGAGAGAGGAAGGAAGAATGGAAGGAAGGAAGGAGATGGGAGGGAGATGGGAGGGAAGGAGGAAGGAAGGAGGGAGGAAGGAAGGAAGAATGGAAGGAAGGAAGGGCAATAGCCTTAGAAGAGCCTTGGTGGCGCAGCGGACTAAAGTGCTGTTAAGTAACACCAGCTGCCTGCAATTACTGCGAGTTCAAATCTCCCCAGACTCAAGGTGGACTCAGCCTTCCATCCTTCCGAGGTAGGTAAAATGAGGACCCGGATTGTGGGGGCAATAAGCTGACTTTGTATAAAAAAGAACACCGCTTTTGGGGGGGGGGGCAAAAGCCCGACTAAGCAGGTATATATAAAAGTATGAAGGCTATTGCTTAACGCATTGTAAGCGCCCTGAGTCTCCGGAGAAGGGAACCGGTTTGGTGACGTTATATCGTCACCGCTACCGGCTCGGCGAACCGGACCAAACGGGAGGAACCACACTGCCGGAACCCTTCCAGATACATAAAAGAAAATAATCTTACCTCAGACGGTTTCATAGTGTGTGTTTCTTCTCCACAACTTAGCCGTGGTTGATCGTTCCATAATTTCGTTGTATTTGGCGGTGACGCTTGGGCTCTCTGGGTCAAGTGATAGAGGACACGGTACAGACTGGACAAAGTGGTATTAAAAGATGTCCTCCAGGCTGTCCTTTTCCTGTTCTCCTTCACCTGTGGGATCACAGGTGGCTTCTCTTTTTCGGAGGTAAGGGCCCACGCCTTCCAACATCCCCTTGCCGGATTTCAGCACCATAAAATGTTCAAACAAATCTTTGTCGGCCGACTCGGCCCCGAAGGCATCTTCTAAATCTTCTAAGGAGACTCCACGAAGGAGGCTGGGGAACATCACCGTCTGTTCCATCTTCTGGATGGCCGAGACGTACTTCTCCGTGGCTGCCGAAGAGAGAATTTCTGGGAGCTGGAAATCAGCTGGCATCTCGAAGTCTTTGCTGAGCTGGGAGACACTGGCAAGGAGCAAAGGGTGGACAAGGCATGGACAGGGGGTGGAGGACCATTTATGAACAAAGCGGGGAGGAAAATCAGACCCGTTGGCGTGATCGGGATGGGTTCCATCAAAAGGCACACCTCGTTTTCCAACCAATCAGATTGGTTGCAGATATGGACTTACTCTGCAATTGGCAACTTGGGTTTATTGACACCTTGTCAGGTTTCCAAATTGGGCTTCTTCCAGAGGTTTGACCCCCAGAGGACATGTGGGGCCATGGATGACAGCTGAGTCATTCTGGACAGTCAGTGGGCTGATTGGAAAATGCCCAATGGAAAATTTTATGCCAAAGCTTGAGAAACATCAAAGGACTTCAACAGGTGCCTTACATACGTGGAGACTCCAAAAAGACACACAGGAATCACGCATAGTCCAGGTGGACCTCAACTGTCATGGATGTAAGAATATGTGATGGAGCTAAGAATAATAGGCTGGCCAGATCTGGACTGCAAATCTGACAATGGCTCCAGGGAGCCCTCAACGTACATTCCGTTTAGCGACCGTTTCTAAGTGACAGGCAGTCCTCGATTACAAACAGTTCATTGAGTGACTGTTCAAAAGTTAACACGGCAGTCAAAAAAGTGACAACCATTTTGCACACGACTGTGTGAGCCCCAATGGTCATGTGATCGAAACTTTCGCCGTTACGACCTTTTGCGGCATAATCATGGGATCAAAATTCAGACGCATGGCCCACGGTTATACATATGTCCGTTGCTCGTTGTGTGTGTCCCAACCTTGACGACTTCTGACAAGCAAAGTCAAGAGGGAAACCAGATTCGTTTAACAACTGAGTCACCAACAAATCAATTGCAGTGATTCACTTAAGAGCTGTGGCAAGAAGGGTCGTAAACGGGAGGTAAAAATCACTTAACAACTGTCTAACTTCTCAACTGTGGCCATATGCACCAAAGACAAATTCCTTGTGTGTCCAGTCACACTTGGCCAATAAAGAATTCTTTCTTTCTTTCTTTCCTTCTCTTTCTTTCTTTCTTTCTTTCCTTCTTTCTTTCTTCTTTCTTTCTTTCTTTTTTCTCTTTTTCTTTTTCTTTCCTTTCTTTTTCTTTCTTTTCTCTATCTATCCATCCATCCATCCATTTCTTTCTATCTTCATCTATCTATCCATCCATCCATCCATCCATCCATCTCTATCCATCCATCCATCCATCCATCCATCCATCCATCCATCCATCCATCCATCTATCTATCTATCTATCTATCTATCTATCTATCTACTTGAGCTACGTACGGAGGTATGAAGTGTAAGACTGCAAATTTCCTGATGTCCTCTAGAGGGCAGGAGCAGGCGAGAATTTGCCTCTGTCCCCTTGGCGCCCTCTAGTGGCGATCGAGGTTTCGGCAGCCAGATGCAGTAGCATTAAAATGAGGGAAAGCATTGACTCCCTCCCTCTCTCTCTCTTCTCCCCCCTTCTTGATGCATTTGTTCCTCCCTCCCTTGGTCCTGCCAAGCTGGTTTAGACTCTGGACCGAATCCTCTTTTGCAATTCCATTACTTCACCTCAATTCCAGCTTTGCTGCATCATCCAGATTTTCGTCATCCAGCTAAATCAGGCCCTGGATTTCTGCCCTCAAACCTTGCCCAGATGGGTTTGTCCTGGTTTGGCAGGGACAGTAACGGCGCAAGAAGGTAAACTTGCCATGAGCTAACCACATTTTAGTGGCGTGGCCATTGCGACACAGGTTGGTGCCTTTTCTGACAGTGAGAACATTTAACCCATGGAACAGAAGTTTATTTATTTATTTATTTTATTGAATTTGTATACCGCCCTACTCCTGAAGGACTCAGGGCGGTGAACAGCCATAGAATAAAACATATAGATACAAAATTTAAAATAAACTAAAACGAATTAAATAATTTGGCTGAACAAATTTAAAACCCCAATAATTTAAAACCAAATTTAAAATTTCCATTTAAAAAGGGGAAAGTTTTAGGCCAGGCCAGCTTGATGAAATAAGAAAATCTTGAGGCGCGCGACGGAAGGTACGCAGATCCGAGATCCTCCGTATCTCCGGGGGGAGCTCGTTCCAGATCGTAGGTGCCCCCACAGAGAAGGCTCTCCCCCTGGGGGCCACCAGTCGACATTGTTTGGCCGACGGCACCCAGAGAAGCCCCTCTCTATGGGAGCGTACTGGTCGGTGGGAGGCTATTGGTGGTAGCAGGCGGTCCCGTAAATAACCAGGTCCTAAGCCATGGAGCGCTCTAAAGGTGGTAACCAAGACCTTGAAGCGCACCCGGAAGACCACCGGAGCCAGTGCAGCTCGCGCAGGAGAGGTGTTACATGGGAGCGCCACGTCGCTCCCGTCACCACCCACGCGGCCGCACTCTGCGCCAGTTGGAGCCTCCGAGTGCTCCTCAAGGGGGGCCCCATGTAGAGAGCGTTACAATAGTCCAGACGGGAGGTGACGAGGGCATGAATGACCGTGCGTAAGGAGTCCCGATCTAGAAAGGGACGCAACTGGCGGATCAGGCGAACCTGATGAAAAATCCTCCCGGTCACGGCCTTCTGAAGTTGCCTTCAGAAGTTGTGGGAGCTTCATCCCTGGAGACTTTCAAGAAGAGACTGGAATTGCCATCTGTCAGAAATGGTGTAGGGTCTCCTGCTTGGGTGGGGGGTTGGACTAGATGACCTACAAGGTCCCTCCCGACTCTGTGAATCTAATCTAATCCTTTTTGGGAAATGGACCGAGCTGCAAAACCTAACCCAAGAGACTTTAATTCCTAGTTTAAAATGGGAGCCGTGGAAACGATGTGGGGACGGGGAGCCTTTATCTGTGTGATAACACTACAGGTCGTCCTCGATTTCCAATGGTTCATTTAGGGACTGTTCAACGTTACGACGACACTGAAAACAGGGAGTTAGGGACCTTTTTTTTTTTATACTGACGACTATTGCAGGATCCCCAGTGCCACGTGATTCAGACGCCTGGCAACCGATTCGTATTTATGACGGTTGCAGCACCCCAACGATTTTTGACAAGTAAAGTGAATGAGGAAGCCAGGTTCACTTGAGAATCACGCTGCAAATTTAACAACTGTAGTACAGTAAGAGCCTGTAGTACAGTGGACTAAAGCACTGTTATTAACAACTGCTGCTTGCAATTACTGCAAGTTCAAATCTTCACCAGGCTCAAGGTTGACTCAGCCTTCCATCCTTTCTAAGGTAGGTGAAATGAGGACCCAGTTTGTGGGGGCAATAAGCTGACTTTGTATAAATATACAAAAGGATGAAGGCTATTGCTTAACACATTGTAAGCCGCCCTGAGTCTCCGGAGAAGGGCGGCATATAAATCAAATTAAAAAAAATAAAAAATAAAAAAAAAAAAATAAAAAAAAAGGCCATAGGGATGTGCTGATACAAATACAAAGGGAACGGGAACAATTCTTTCTCCCCAGTTCGATATATATATATATATATATTACATTGAATTATAAGGAAAGACATTTGCCAATTTAAGAGATGGACTTTGCATCTACCCAAGAAAAGGACACAGGCTGAATTCCCCAACTCTATATTACGGAATCACTGTTCTCTAGAAAAAGTTATTATCATGCAGGGGCACAAAAACGAAAATGTGAATAAAGGATTTGGTTTTGTATCTGTTCCCTTGTCTGTCTGGAATTTATCATTGCAGATATATTACGCAAGCCATTCCGATCAGATTCGCAATCTTGATCCAATTGCCTTTCTCTCTTTCTCTCTCGGGCGTTGCTGCATTCATTCATTTCTCTATTTGCAAATTCCCCTTCTTCCATACAAACCAGTTTGGCAAGCATCCACATTTTGATCACGTGACCATAGCAATGCTGCCATGGTCATTAAGTGTGAAAAACGGACATAAATCCCTTTTTTCCCCCCAGTGCCGGTCCAACTTTGAATGGTCGCTAAATGAACTATTGAAAATCGAGGACTATGCATTTGAAAATCTCCACTTTGGCAGAAAGGAACCTCCCAAGGTGGCTCAGAGCCCCGCCTCCCAACCAATCAGAGCCCCGCTTGCCAGCCAATCCGAGCTCCGCGGCCGAGACGGGCCAGCCTCGACGTAGCTCCGCCCCCTGCGCGAGGGAGGGCGGGGCGGCGGAACCTTCCTCGGCGGGCGCTGCGGGCGCGGGGAAGGCGTTGCGGGCAGGACCGTCCCCCTCTGACCCTCCGCCATGCAGGTCCGCTTAGGCATCCCCAAAGAGGCGCGCTCGCTGCTGCCGCCGCCGCCGCTGCTCAACTTCCCGTCGGTCTGGATGGCGGGCGTCTTCTGGCTCAGCGCCTTGCTGGACAACGGCCTCAACCGCAGGCCCGCCCTGCGAGCCGGTCAGTGGCCAGGCCCTCCCGGTGGCCTCCCGTCCTTTCCCCGCCTCTCCCTCTCTCTCTCTCTCTCTCTCTCGCCCTTGGACGGGCTGCGAAGGGTCCCCGGGACTGGATCCCCGTCTCGGACTCCGCGCCGCTGAGCCTCACGAGCAGCTCTCCCAACTATAAAGGCAGAAGGGAAGGGCCCCTTGCCCATAATCCACAACCCTCCATGCCCATAATCCACAACCCTCCATGCCCATAATCACAGCCCCCTTCCATGCCCATAATCCACAACCCTCCATGCCCAT